TTTTTAACCATGAAATGTAAAAGCAAAATACTGATGTGGAAAAACACCAAGGTTTGTTATTGTAGTTTATGAAGCCAAATTAAGATGGTCTTGAACATAAGTTAATATATAAAGTGTATCTTGAGTTTAAGTGAAAGAAAAATGTAGTCATCTCTCTTTTTCAGGTCATCAAGGACTTTAAAGCATTAGAGAGAAATGAAACATGCATAGTTTCATTTCAGTGTGAAAATGATATGCCTAGGTGTAGAGTGTTTAAATGTGGAAGTTAGGTCCCCCTAGAATAGACCTAACAAGAGCCATGGTGAACATCGTGTAGGACTCAAGTATGAACATGAAGTTGTTATACAAGGACACATTGGTCAACGGTGTTGAAAGTGGAGCTCTAATCCAGTGTTAAGGCAGAGGAAAAAATTCTTATAAGAAGCAAGTCTTGTTTCAAAACCACATTTTATTCTAAATACTGAAATTAAAAAGGACAATTTTGGAGAAAATGCCTAAAATTGGTGGGAAAGATCCCTTTGCAGAATGCACACATTGGACTTATATCTGTAAAAGTATGGATTTTTTTTAAATTGGGAAATACATGGATCTACTAGCTCTGTATTCAAAGTAATTGATGCAAATTGGTACAAGGAAAACTAATTTTAAATATTCAAAATGTGTCAATTTGTCTTTTAAATCATCATTCTGAAGCTCCAGACTGATTGGGTCTGGTATTCTGAATTAAATCTACCCTGTAGAGAGCAAAGGCAGTTTTTTTCCCTCCAGACGCTGCTGAAATGTTTGACGCTCTGCAGCAGCCGCTCATTCAGACACGGATGTGGTGATGCAGTGGCTGTGCCTGCGTAAGCGAGGCCCACTGCAGCGCTGCTGATTAAGCCTTGTGACATCAGCAAATTTAGAGCAGTAGCTAAAGCATCATTCGCCGGTTGATCAGCTAAGAGAAATTAGAAAAACTCTTGAGTATTTTCTCCCAGACCTTGAATCAGTATTCCTGATCCATTATAATCTCCTTCTGGGAATCAGTCCCCTTTGAGGAAAATCTGGAATAATTAAATGTTCATTTTTGTTCCTCTTATATGCACCTTGTTTTAATTCACTGTGCAAATGTATGTTAACTATTTTTCATTATTAATGTGGCTGTTGACATTCTGATTTATTTGATTCTTGCGTTATTCCTGCTCAGTAGTGAGTATATATGCTCTTATATTCAATACTAAAGGGTGCTGTTCTGGAAGCTGTAGTTTGTTCTGTGATCATTAAAGAGCTTTCTGTGTGTTCATACACGTGGCAACAATAGAGCAGAGGAGTGTCTGTTTGTCTGCTTGTAAAAACCACATCCTCGCCTTCGCTGCGTGTCATTGGATGCTCTGAGTTTCAGGAGACAAACAGGAAGGCGGTCAGGTGGAACCTGAGAGACGGCAACGACACACAGACATATCGATGGCCTCTGACCTTTTCTAGCTTGACCTGTAAGGTATTCAAAAATTATGTCACAAGCACACAGTCAGATAAAACACAAATAATCAGAGTAAGGAAGATAAACAGATCTTTGTTTAGGGGGAAAAAAGTCAGTAAGAGAACTGATAGTTGATCAGGTAAACGATATGTTTGTGTCTTGTTTTGGTAACTGACCGATTCTGAAGATAATTAGAGATTGTTACATGTATTTTGGTCTGGGCAATCTCTTCCTTGATTAAGTAAGGGCAAAGATGACCTTTGAAAGTCCCAAAATAAACATCTACACTTAGATACCCAACAAGCAATATATGATCCATAGAAAAAAAAAAAAACCCAGTCCACCACAGTTGTTTATCCTGTTTTTTATTTTGCTGTCATGCGGTGTCCTAGCAGTTGCCCTAAGCATGTAACATAGCCTTAAAACAGAAACCGTGTGTGATCAAGAGGTAGCATGACCAAGCTTAAGCTCAGGTTTCTACTTCACACATGGGCAGGCTGGACTCTTAGTTTTGATTTCTCAACTGTCTTTCTCCGTTGTCATGTTGTTGTTGTTGTTTATTTTGAAAGCACTCACAGGTGTAGCAAGGTCAAACACAGACCTGCTGTTATTCTACTGGAGCTCTATTTCCTGTAGAAGTAATCAGAAAACACAAACGTAGTTCATCAGTGACCTACTATGTGACAAGAGGCCTCTCTACATGATGCAAGTTTATGTATTTAGGAAGGAGGGCACAAGAAAATTCTTGAGCAAACTTTCTAATGTCAGAGATTCTAAATTTATGGGAAGTTTCAACAGTGTGGTTTAATGGGAGGGGGGTCTGAATAAAATTGCTCCTCTCTGTAGGTTTTCCTACACAATCTGGAAAAGCATAGATGCAATCTCACAGGTCTGGGTGTGAGTAGAAAAAGAAAATGGTCTGGATTATTTTTTGTATTTATATGTTCCCCATTTTTTTTTTTAAACATCCATCCATCCTTCCCTCAATCCCAATTATTTCAGAAATACAACTAGTTTATATCAGCGGTGTATTATTTTTTTTATCTTCAAAAATAGGCTATAAAGGACAAAGAATTTGAAAAAAGTAAGTCTGGAAAAGTGCATATGGAAAAGTTTATATAGCACTTATTCAAAACAAGTCACCCAAAGGTACTTTAGACTAAATTCAAATGAATCATAAAAACTGATTGGTTTAAAAGTTGTTTTTGTTTTTATCTAAGGAAATCCAGCAGATAGAGCCATTTATTCCCCCCTAAATGACCATGTAACGATAGTGGACAGTCGCATGCATGTTGTCGTTGATTTTGCAGCAAGTCCACATATGGAGCATGCATATGGGTGGAGTGGAGAGGAAAAACTCCCCATAAACAAGAGGAATCGAAAAGAACCAGGTGCAGTGTTTACAGCAGGAATAACAAACCTTCTTAAGGCTTAGAGCTAGTTTATATATTATTTTTTTTTTGTATTGTGCATAACAGTCACAGCAAAGTTTTATAGGTATTGCCCCATATTTCTACACAGTAACTCAAGTAAGGTAATATAAGTGCAGAATACAGAATATAAAGAGCAGCATAATTTAGGAAGTGTTTAGCTTTGCTGTGAATGGCAATACTTTTGGATATTTTACTTTTAATGTGTTTTGTATGAGGTCTCCAGCAAATCTTATTATCTATCATTAATTCCAAGAACTTTATTTCATTAACTTTCTCTACTGTCACATTATCAGAATATGTAAATATGTTTTACTTTTACAGGTTGATTGACAATTTACAAGCTTTTCTTCAAATGAAATAGAGAACAGGTGGAAATGATTGGCAATTAGCAAGACTCACTCAATTAAGGAGTGGTTCTGCAGGTGGAGACCACAGACCACTTCTCAATACCTATGTTTTCTGGTGGATGTTTTGGTCACTTTTGAATGTTGGTGGTGCTTTCACACTCCTTGTAGCATGAGACGGAGTCTACAAACCACACAAGTGGCTCAGGTAGTGCAGCTCATCCAGGATGGCACATCAGTGTAAACTGTGGCAAGGTGGTTTGCTTAGTCTGTCAGTATATTATCCAGAGGCTGCAAGCACTACCAGGAAACAGGTCAGTACACCAGGTGGTGTGGAGGAGGCCGTAGGATAGCAACAACCCAGCAGCAGGACTGCTACACCCACCGTTGTGTAAGGGGGAATAGAAGGAGCACTGCAAAATGATCTCTGTTAGCCCACAAATGTTCATGTGTCTGCACAAACTGTTAGAAACAGACTCTATGAGGATGGTAGGAGGGCCCCATGTCCACAGATGGGGCTTGTACTCACAGCCCAACACTGTGCAGGACAATTGGCATTTTTCAGTGAACACAATGATTGGCAAATTGACCACTGGCACCCTGTGCTCTTCACAGATGAAAGCAGGTTCACACTGAGCACATGTGACAGACGTGACAGAGTTTGGAAAAACAGTGGAGAAACGCACGACCTGCTGCCTGCAACATCCTTCAGCATGACCAGTTTGGCAGTAGGTCAGTAATGGGGTGGCATTTCTTTGGAGGGATGCACAGCTCTCCATGTGCTTGCCAGAGATAGCTAACTGCCATTAGGTAATGAGATGAGATCCTTGGACCCCTTGTGAGACCATATGCTGGTGCGGTTGGCCCCAGCTTCCTCCTAATGCTGGACAATGCTAGACCTCATGTAGCTGGAGTGCTTCAGCAGTTCCTGCAAGATGAAGGCATTGAAGCTATGGAATGACCTGCCGGTTCCCCAAACCAGAATCCCATTGAGCACATCTGGGACATCATGTTTCAATCCATCCACTATTGTCATGACTGTCCAGGGGAGAGCAGATGCTTTAGTCCAGTTCTGGGATGAGATTCCTCAGGAGACCATCTGCAAGCTCATCGGGAACATGCCTAGGCATGTGAAGACCACAAACACAATACTGAGCCTCATTTTTACTTTAAAGGACATTACAGCCTGTAGTTTTTCCCTTAATTTTTGTAGGTGACTCCAAATCCAGAGTTCCACTTGTTAATACGTTAGATTTCCATTCATGATTTGTTAGGATTTGTCATTTGTTTGTTCCTTTATTTTTTGAGAATTGTATGTACCACTCATTAACAGGATAATCAGTTTTATTTACATAATCTGTCAGAGGTTATATTGTCATGCCCAATCAATGTCTGTAAAATATCCTGCCCAGAAGAGCAATAAGGAGTAAATCTGCATAAACATAAAATGAAGCCAAAGAAAATGGGATTTACATAGAAAAAAACAGAGCATGTTGAAACTGACTTAAAAAAAACAATATTTCATAATCTAGGTCTCTTACTCAAGAGGCCTGTCTCCCCCCTGTGATAATCCGTCATCCAGATCCCCCCCCCCCCCCCCGTTTCCATGGATTGGACCAATCCGCTGTCTCCTCCCCCTAACCGTCAGGATTTACCGCAGCCTGCCGCAGACACAGGAGAAAGGAGCCGCTGAGCAGATGGGATGCACCTGCTCCTCCACAATCTGGTTTAAATGTGTCAGGGTCTCATTGCTTCAGCGGGAAAGTTTGACTTTAAAGACTTTCTACGTTTAAGAAAATCCTTGTGTGGTTCGGATCGAGCTTCGTAGTTGTTTTTTTTTTCTCCCTCCTATATTCGGGATATAAACCCGTTTCTGCGCATCTCCTCTCCGCCTCCGGAGCAGCGATGCCTCCCGGAGTAATACCGACCCCTCGCAGCTCATCTGCCGGCTGCTTCTGCGCCTACTGCGGGGTGAAGATCAAACCCTGTCCCACCGAGAACTCCGTGTTTTCTCGCGGGGAAATCTATCAGCTGTAAGTTTACTCAGCGAGCTGAGCTGATATGAATGCGAGCTGCAAACATTTTGCACTCATAATAAACTGTTTACGTTTAGCTTCCATGCAGCTTTTTTCTGGCTGGCTATGGTCTCATTAGTCCACACTCCCAGGCTTGTTTTAAAATGGCATACAGTTTTTGCTCGAATGCACAGGAGTCTGGAGACCTTGCATATATAAAAACTTTAAGATGCTCCACCTGCTCGCGTGCGCTTCCATGCATCTTAATTAGGAGCACACCGTGTACCCCAGACATTCCCATAGCTTATAATTAATGTCAGCTCTGGAGGTGAACACTGCGGATCACGCTGGTATTTATTGGTGATTTGTTTGATCAACAAAGCTGGAAATATTCCCTGCATGTGTTTTATTATCAAGCACGTGCATAACAACATTGGTATGAGGATCCTAAAGGGTTGCTTTCAGCACAGTGATGAAATCCGCATTTCTTTTTGTATTGGAAAAACAGCTTGTAGGTATTGTTAGAGGTCTGTCAGTGTTGTGAGGCTTTTATAGTGTGTCTAATCTTTGTCAATCCCTCAGTTTGTCTTAGAGGGATTAAAAGTTGTTTGCTTCACTAAAATCTGCTTCAAGTGTTGAGTTTTTAAAGAAGTGTTTAGATTTATACTACATTTTTGTTTAAACTGATAAAAAAAAAAGATGCTCAATTAATCTTTTTTGTCACTTTTTTTAGTAACTTGTCATAATCTTGCTTTTGGCCTTTGCTTTCTTTATCTTGATGGTGGGATGTAATATTTTCAGACTTTCTGTCTTTGCACATTATCTACCTGTGCTTATATTCTGAGTGATGGATATGGACACCCAGTCATCAGTGAGCAAATCTGCTTTCCATGTCATCATAAAATACAGACATTTCCCACTTTTTCAGGTCAATCCTTGGAATGTAAATTTGTTAAACATAGTTTATGATCATCAACAAGCCAAATTTCTCACATAACCGGCAGCAAAACCCCCTGAGAATTTTACATTCATAGTCTTGCATCCTGCATTTCAAGTCCATTATATAATTCATTATCCATAGGCATCTTGTCATAAGTGGCTTAGTGAGAGTTGCAGTCAGTGCCAGTTACCTGCTCAGATTTGTCATACTGTAGTTGTATCCAAGCCTGTGAACTATAATTAGAAGAAGATTCTGGTGAAAAAAGAAATTGTTTAAGTCAAAGATATTTTATTTACTCTGGAAACAGGTCTTCCTTTTTCGTTTTTGGAGGAAATAGAATCCAACTCTGCAAACATGTCACTGGATGTAGATGGGTTTTTTTTGTTGTTTGTTTCACATTTCAATCTAATCTTTTTTAAACTCATAAATCTTTACTGTTGTGCACAGGATAGTTTATTTAGAAGATCACAGGCCTGGACTAAGTAAACCTTCTAAATCAGAACTTTTAAAACACGTCTCTTTTTCAAGCAGAAAGCTTTCATAGCAGGGGTTTAGCAGATACTGTTGAACAAATATGTTCATGGTTGTTTGATACGGCCTTGTGATGAAAACTAACAAAAGCAAATCCAGATGCGAGAGTGAACTTTAGAAAACATATTTCAGCAATGTCTGGCGAATGACAACAGTTTTTGTTTCATACTGGCGTATTTACTAAAACAATGCAATTACAAAAGATATTAGTGCTACATGGATTTCTCTACCTCTGAGTGTTTTGTAAAAAATGAGTTTTTTGTTGTTTTCTTTATGCAGCATCAGTGAAAGTTTCCTGACAGTCAAAGGAGCTGCTCTCTTTCTGCCTCGAGGAAATGGCTCCTCTCCAATTTCGGCTTCTCGCTTCTCACAACTACGGAGTAAACATGCAGGTGAGGCAAAAAGTTTTGTTCAAATTCCACACCTTTTTAATAAAAAAAATAAATAAATAAATAAATTGTGCAGAATTGTTGCAAAGAATCCCTTCAATCTAATCCAAGCCATTTCCTGAATCTTAACAGGAGACATCCAGCAGCATCTGCAGACCATGTTCACTCTGCTCAGACCAGAGGACAACATCAAGCTGGTGGGTGCACAGCACAAGTAAAAGCACAGACTAGCCTCTCTGTTAGCATTTTATTATGCTGACCTTTCTGGTTCCTGTTCCAGGCAGTCCGTTTGGAGAGTGCTAGCACACAGGCCACACGCTACATGGTGGTGGTCTCAACCATCGGACGCCAGGACACAGAGGAGAGCCTGGTGCTAGGCATGGATTTCAGTCCCATTGATAGGTGAGACCATGTCTCACTCAAACCTTTATGTGCAGCTTTGATGGATAACCTTATTAAAATGGAGGTTTTTCTCTCCCTTTTTTCCATCCCTGCAGCTCATGTTCAGTTGGTTTAGTTTTGCCTTTATGGAGTGACACCTTAATACACTTGGATGGAGATGGGTAAGACATTTTAGACACTGTTGAATTAAGCACAGTCCAAATACAAGATGGTCTGATGGTTTTGTGTTTGTACTTTTTTTTTTTTTTTTTTCCCTCTCAGTGGATTCAGCGTATCAACCGATAACAGAGTGCATGTATTCAAGCCTGTCTCTGTGCAAGCCATGTGGTGAGGAAAAACTATTGAAAATTTATGTAGCTTTTTTTTTTTTATATCATTTACAAGCTTTCATCTCCTTGATGCCATTCTCATAAAAATTGTTTACTGTCATGTCAGAATCTTCCCTCCTAATCACTTTCAAACCCTTTATGGCAGGTCCGCTCTGCAGTCGCTCCACAAAGCCTGTGAAGTGGCTCGCTGTCACAACTACTTCCCAGGCAGCTTGTTCCTCACCTGGGTCAGCTATTATCAAAGCAGAGTGTCCTCTGATCAGACCCGCATCAACGAGTGGAACGCAATGCAGGATGTTCAGTCACACCGCGCTGACTCACCCGTCCTTTTCTCTGATATGTAAATATTCAGTGCAAAAGTATATTTAAAAAAAATCTTTTATTGCTTTACAACTTCTGAAATAAATTTGTTTTATAGGGATGTAATGTGATGGAGCAATGCAAATGAGTAATTATCAAAATTGTTTAGAACCACAAAAGATGTTTTTGCACATAAAAATCTAAAAGGTGTTAACGTTCAGCCTTTAAGAGTCGGTACACTGTAGAAATACTTTTTGATAAGTCTTTACCAACTTTGCACATTGAGACACTCAAATCCTTGTTAAAAAAGGGAAAAAAGGCATTTTTGGTTTTAAAGTGACAAAAATGTATGAATACTTTAGGAAGGCTCTTTTGTAGAACTATGCATTAAATTTCCCTTTCATGTTTCTGTAGCCCCACAGAGAGAGAGCTTACAGAGCGACAGATAAAAACCAGCCTGAGGGAAATCATGACGCAGAAGGATCTGGAGAATGTCACCTGTAAAGAAGTGAGTTACCTCTCATGCTTAGTGCAGACGAAAATATTGCTTTAAACTTTCCTCTGAATTCGGTTCAACTCAACAGTATTTCCCTGACTTAATGTTCCTCACAGATCCGAACAGAGCTGGAAATGCGCATGACATGCAACCTGCGAGAGTTCAAGGAGTTCATCGACAAAGAGATGATTGTTATTCTTGGCCAGATGGACAGTCCTACAGAGATCTTTGACCACGTCTTCCTGGTATTTTGACAATAAACATTTCAGAAACACATTTGTTGGATGCGACAACTCTGGCTACACTTGAGCCATTTATCATCCTTTTATGCTTAGTAGTCAGAGAAATCTGATGCAGTTTTTTTTTATAAGATGTGTTCAATTTTAAGGTACTAAGGTCTTGTTTTGTAAATGCATACTGTATGTCAGACGTGTCTTGCCAAAGGGATTTAGCACTGATAATATGCTCAGAGGAAGGTCTGGAACAACACTGAGGATTGCTTTGGTTTCCTACAGGGATCTGAGTGGAATGCATCCAACTTGGAGGAGCTGCAGAAGTGTGGGTAAGGAACGGCTAAATGCAGCAGCCTCTGTACAATCAGAAATAAAAACGCAAAAGACGATACATTAAATTTAAATGTTAGGAGAAATTTTCTTAGAAAACAAGTAAGCATGTTGTAAACTGGTTTGTTTTATGGTTTACCAGCACCTGACAAGCAAGCTGTCTTGTTTTGATCCAACCTGTATATTTTTTGTCCTTCAGGGTTCAGTACATCCTGAATGTAACAAGGGAGATCGATAACTTCTTCCCCGGTGTGTTTGAGTATCACAACATCCGCGTATACGACGAGGAGGCAACAGACTTACTCGCTTATTGGAATGACACTTATAAGTTCATATCTAGAGCCAAGTAAGTTTTTTTTATTTTAATGGGATTCCTTTACAGTCTGGAGAAGTATGGTGGTTGTGTTTTATAATGTTCAGGTGTAGATGTATAAGTGGTGAAGTGCTGGGGAAATGTAAATGTTTTAAGTCAAAAACATTTATTTTTAAAGCTAAAGATCTACATTTCTGAATATAAGAATAAAGAATAAACTATAGAATTTTTGTTTTAGTTGGTTTATATTTATCTCTTATGTCCTCAGTGACTTACCGAAACTTAGACTTTTAATAGAATAAATGTGACAAAGGTCAAAAGCTGGGTTTTAAAATTATCTTTCCTCTTGAATGTAATCATGTAAGTTTAACAAGTCCAGCAGGGATGGATTTTAAGATTTCAAAATCTAACCCCTAATTTTTAAATCTAAAGGAAAATTGGGCTTATGAGTTGGTATAATTGCAAAAAATATTTTTCATTTTCATGTTTTTTTAAATCAACAAATGATACTTTCCTACTAGATAAACGTTTTGTTCCATCTGGTCACGTGGTCATACATGGCCATTACTATGGTACCTAATGATGGTTTTGTCTTCCTTTTATATTTTTTTTTAAGTGACTGTGATAATTTTGCATTGTTGCTGTTTTGCACTCACGTCTGTGGTAAAATGTTCTTTACTAAAGGTTTAATATGATCAACAGATAAGGGAGTGTATTTGGCTGCACCTTAAACTTAAATCCTTTGGCAAAATCTTTAATTTTCTTACTGATTGAGTTTGAGAAAATGTTTTTTTTTTTTTTATTTCCTTAAGCTGTGACTTCTTTTAAAACTCTGTCTCAGAACATTTGCTCTACAGGCCAATTTTTAAACAGAACGACGATGAATAACTCAATTGTTCACGTCTTAACCAGGAAATCTGGCGCCAAGTGCCTGGTCCACTGTAAAATGGGAATCAGCCGCTCTGCAGCCACAGTGATCGCATACGCCATGAAGGAGTATGGATGGGATTTGAAAAACGCCTTCAATTACGTCAAAGAGCGGCGGACTGTGACCAAACCCAACCCTTCCTTCATGAGGCAGCTGGAGGAATACCAGGGCATACTGCTGGCCAGGTACACGCATACAAAAATGTAATCATTCCAAACTCTGAGAGTATGGAGAGAATGTGGATCACACAACTCTGAATGTTTTCAACAAATTAATGGCTTTATTGTTTTAATTTAGTCAGATGTTTGCCCAAACTTAGTTTGTGATTTGGTCTGTTGGTAGCGACTGTGTTTAACTTACTGCTTAACAGGTTATTATGGCTGTGTAAAACAGTCAGAATTAAATTAATACATCTATTTAAGAAAGTTTTAATGGCAATTTGTTATCAAATACACTTCAAGGTAACAGTAGAGCTTCACTACACTTTCTAGACTTATTTAAAAAAAATGTCTCTGTGCACTAAAATGCATAAGAAGGACGTGTAGCTAGTTTACTGTGGTTTTATTTTTTAGATCTAATTAAGACATAATTTATGCACCACATTTTTCCTGAGTATTCTTAAGATAAAAAGGGGCATTGAATTCTATGTGGCTCAATGATGCATTATTAGACTCTAAACAATGGGACTTCTTAGTTTTCATGTTCAGTTTGGGCAAAAATCAAAATTTTAGTATAGTGTCACCAACCCCAGCTTGTTAAATGGAAAACAATCCACTTCAGGTGTCTTGCTGATTAAATTTCTGAACAAGTTCAGACTTTGCATTGTGGGGAAAAAAGTCTTCATTTAGATGCATTTCAGAAGCGTGGCGTCATGGCGGTTCTACCCCACCACCAACATACTTGGCTCTGAACCATTAGGCTAGCTTAAGGGCGCTGACATCCATATGAAGTCCATGCAGACTTTTTTGAACACCATTCTTTAACTAAAAGGCTTCCAGATTTTTCCTTTCAGGACTTCTACATGTATCTTATTTACAACCTGTCCTCTTTCACTGGAGAAAGTCTGAAAGCTTTTAAAAGCTGGCTGGGTTATTGACCTGAAAATATGGCATCAGGAAAAATAAAGATATTCGTACGTAAAGTAAAACGCTTTCTGCTCATCTTTAATGTAAAGAGCTTAACACAAATATAATGTAGCAAAATTTTCAGATCTTAATATCATATGCACCTCTTTCACAAGGTGTCTAATCAATGTGAAAGTTAATCACTTCATTTTCTGGAGAAAAAAATTAAGTTGGCAGCTAGCTAAGCGAGCTCTACTGACTTGTTGTGAAACAGACTGATGCATAGTGGACCAGAGCAAGTACTCAATATGACTAGATTTTAACATCTGTGACTGCAAGGCATCCATTGGGGCAGGATAAGTAGCTGCATATCTAGAAAGTAAATCAAAACAGTTAAAATGAATAAAATTTAATGTAACATTAAAATGATATGGTTTCAAAACAGGACAGAAATTAACATGAATGACTCTAAATACACCAGACTTTGTTCATATTGTCAATGTATCTGTTTGTCCCTTTTTTTCCTGTAGCAAGCAAAGGCACAACAAGCTGTGGCGTTCTCTCTCTGACAGTGATCTGTCTGAGCACCACGAGCCTTTGTCCAAGTCCCTCGCCCAACCCAACAGTCTTGGTCGCTCTGACCCCCATAACCAGGCAAGCGGCATGCAGGGCCCCTCTGTGCGAGATCTTCTGGAATCACTGGGAACTTCACCGAGCACTGGAAAAGCAACACACTCCATGAGCCAGCCTGACACCGGCATCCAGTCCAGTCAGCTTGGCTCCTCTGGCTTTAGTGCCATGGCATCTTTATCAGGTGACGCTAAAGTTCAAAGCCTGGAGGGACCCTCTCAGGCTGATAAAGCCTTCAGCAGGCAGCTCATCCCCCACCATCCTGACTCCACAGCTGGTTCTGTGTTATCTCCCACCCTGTCCAATGGTCTGTGTGACTCAGAGGAGCAGCCATCATTGCCTCCTCTCACCCAGCCAAGGGCTTCTACAGACCCCGAGAGGACAGAGGTAGTAACTGTTGCACAAAGCGTGGTGGCGGGCCAGCCTAACCCTCCTCCCTCCGTTCAGCACCTCCTGCCCTCTCCTGCTCCATCATCCACAAATGAAGCCTCTAAACTCCAGGTTTCCTCGTCTACCCCTCTGGCTTCAGTGCCTGAGCCCATGACTGCACCAAACACTCATCAGCCTGGATCCCAGAGTTTAGCTGCACCAGTGCTTATAAAAAAACAAGAGGATCATCAGACATGTGGCTCAGATCCTCCCTCCTCTAATGACATCAGCCATCCTAATGCTGTTCCACAGGACAACGTGTTGCTGTTTGGCCATAGTGCTGATCATATTAACTTCTTTAGTGCCAGAGAAAAATTCAAGGGAATGAGTCATGATGGTAAAAGTCAGAGTGCTGCTGTGCAGCAGTCTCCTCTGCTTAAGAGCTGCGGTAAAGATCATCTTCCTCTGGGTCAGGAGGGTGTAAACAGTGAGGGGCAGGAGGAGGAGAGCAGAAAGGTAACCATTGCTTGTAAGTTTTCCTCTAATTCTTCTTTCATTCTTTGTTCTTAGTATGAAAGTTTGTGGATGTTCTGAGATGTGTTTAAACTATAAGAGTAATTACTACAGTATTTTTTTACATATTCCATAATTTTTCATTAATTTATAAGTAACTCTTAATGGACTCGCTACACACAAAGGGATGTAGATCTTATTGATTAATGCTCACAGCCTCCTGTTTGTCAGATACTTCAAATCATAAGATTACAGGGTTTCCACAGGTCATTAAGTCATTAAATTATAATTTTTTTAAATTAAGGCCTTAATTGGCATTAAAATTTATCAAATGTGATTAGATTGGCATTTAAAATGCTTTATTTAAAAAAAAAAAACACATTTATAAAGACAATTTTGTCAGATATATCATATCAGATATAACTGGTTCCACGTGTTTGCGTGGAACTCCTTACAGTTCATTGTAAAGTCGTATTTTCGGAAAACAAGCTCAAGGTGGAGAAATTACTAGAGTATGGCAGACATTCCAACTCTCCCATATGAGAATCATGGGTACTTGTTGATGGTGTTAAATTTATTTCCAAGAGCATTAAAAAGCATTAAATTAGAGTTACTAATTCCCGAACAATTCCTGGGTTAATGTAAAGGATTTTTAATACAGAAATATTAACCAACATACACTTATATACTCTATACTTGGTCATGTCCTCTATTGCAGTGTTTCCCAACCTTTTTTTGACTGGTGTACCGCTTTGGGCATTTTGTTTTACCATGAGTGCCCCTCTAGGTCAAATATGATGTGTATTGAGGCTTGTCCAAAAGTGGAACGTACAATAACTGATTATACAATACAGACTATTTTACTTAATCTTTTAATTTGAGCATTTAATTCTTAGGCATTTTATGCCTTTATCTAAAAAAAACAAAAAAAAACCATAAATAACTTACCTGGAAGTTAGTAAGGAATCGAAATGAATACAAAATAAAATCATAATATAAATCTGATGCTACTCATGTAACTCCCCTATAATCACAGAAAAACATACCCTTTGGTTAGTAAAAGCTTGTTTAATTTTTCAGTTGGGTTCTAACAAAGCAGAACAGATCACAGCCCTATTTTACTACCTAAGAAAATATTTTCATGTACCCTTTTCATGACCACTAGGGGCAGGGAAACACCGCTCTATTCAAAGAATCTCTGCAGGGCGGTGCAGAGGTGATCTGCTTGTTGCTAAGCTGAGGTGTCCTGAAACCCATGTTTGCTTTAACAGTTCCCTTCAGTTCTGCTACATAAGTTCTGGTGCCTTTTTTTTTTTTTTTATCTTCTTGATTGTCAGTCATAGTCTGTGGAGGGTTTAATATCAGGTCAGCTTTCTGGGTGATGAATTAGAGTTCTGGTACAGCTGATAGTTTGAGCAGACGCCATACGTATCCTGATGGAAACTAAAATCACCTCTCAAGTCCGTCAGCAGAGGAAGACCTTTTCCTTTTCCACCAGACTCCAATACATTGAAATCTAAATGAAATGCAAATAATTACATTTTTTACCACTAAATATTTTTTTTCTTTTACTCAGTCCATACTAGAGTTATGCTGTCTCTGGTTCAGTTGAACACAGAGATACAAAGGTTGTGAATTCCTCCCTGCTCTTGAAAATCATCACCATCCTAAAGGCTGCAGCTGCTCTTGTTGCATGAAAACATTTTTCTAATCAAACTTTTCTTCCTTCAACTTATCCTTATATTAATCAAAGTGGACACACGCTCATACTGCCAACCTCTATAACATTTTGGTCTCTCTTCCCCTTCTTGTTCAGCATATCAATCACATTTAATCTGCAAAATATTTTTATTGATCTTATTTGATATTTTAAGTTTTAGAGAAGCAGTACTTTTGACGTTGATTAGCTGTAAGCCATAACGATTAAGATTAAAAGAATAAAATGTGGGGAATATTATGTTTTATAATTAATCATTATGGTATGTTTTTACTTTTGAATGTAAATGAATTAAGAACACAATGATTTATAGAGTATTTAGATATACTAGATAAACTAAGCCTTTTGATTATTGTGCTGCAATAGGGCCATCTAGTGGATTATAGATGAAATGCATATAGACCAGTTCTGACGCGTTTTACTGAAACATTATTTTTTGCTTCTGCATTATCTCTCCTCTGTAGGAAACTCATGCTCCTGTGCAGGTCACAGGAATAAAGACAGAGACTCTCACCCAACCAGAACCACAAAGCTCCCGCTACCAAGATGAGATAAGTTATAAACACGAAATGCAGAATCTGGAGACTGTCCCACAGAAAGTGGCCAAAAATGAAAGGGAGGAATTGAAAAACAAAGAGGACGAGGAAGGTGGCCCCGTTCGCCTCTACAGCGACTGGACCAGAGGCTCTGTGCGGAGAGTTACGCAACAACTAGAGCAGCGGATGAAAGGGGAACACAAGACGCCCTTAACCTCATCCTCTGCTGTCCCTCTCACTGGTAGCAGCTCCTGCTCCCAGCGCCGCCCATACAGCATCCACTCTCTGACTGCAGCAGCTCCTCAGGATGCAGCGGTACGCCCGCAGGTCTCTGTAGTCAGCTCCACAGAGGAGGGCGGGGTTGGCATGTTTAGACCAGCTGAAAGAGGGAATTTTTTGGGAATTATTGAAAAAAGCACAAAAGGACACAAACTCCAGCCTGTTGATACCAGACTGCTCTCTACCTCTTCTCATTTCCAACACTCTGCACAGTCTCCATTTGCCTCTGTGAACTTCCTCTGTTTGGAAGGTGTGACCGAACTGGAGTCGTCTGTAGACTGGGTGTGTTTGACAGAGGGACCCCATGCTGACATCACAGTGAGGGACACGTGTGAGCTGGGTTCCTTCCTGCAGCAGGTCGGGTCAGGTGGTGCCTGCCAGGCAGTGTGCTTGAGCCAGAGCTTCGGAAGTTCTCCAAAACAAGGAAGTAATCTGCAGAAGAGGGTTAGACAGGTGGAAGCCAGGATCCGTCAGGCTGGCCTGACCCCTCCGTCTCTAATGAAGCGCTCTGCATCACTGGCCAAACTGGGCTGCCTGGAGCTCCTAGCCAATGATCTGACCGAGCTGGAGCGCAGCTGCTGTTCCGCTACGGCGCCACCTACCCAAGCTCCTCCAGTTAGTGATGAATCCAAGAAGCTGCGGGTGCACAGCTCTCGTTCCTCAAGTAGCAAAAAGCAAGAACCAATCATTAGCCCAGCTAAGAACCTTGGTCTAGAAAACTCGGCAACTTCAAATCAGAGCCCCCCAAAAGAAAAACTCCCAAACACTGAGCAAGACTCCGTACATTCACCTGGGCCAACACTTCTGACAAACAGGCAGCAGTATGGAAAGACTCACCCACTGAGGCAGCTTCAGAAACGAACTGTCAGCACCCTGTATCACACAATGTGACCATCAATCACCCTGTATGTCTGTGTGTGTGTGTGTGCAACTCTTAGATGGAAATCAACATGTTGGTTTTATTTATCAAACCAGTGCCTCTTGCCTTAAAGGATACGTTTCAGTCGTTCCTAACACGTTTTCCCATAGATCAACTGAAAGCTTCTGTGATATCAGCCGTTGAGGTGAAGTCTGCTGAACTCAACAAAAGTTGAAGCATAAAAACCCATCCTCCAATCAGGGTGGTGTGGGGCCCTAGTGGTTAAGGCATAGAGCTTGGAATCCTGAGGTTCTGAGTTTGAACCCTCACTCCCACAGACTCCCATTCTGGGTGGCAAAACCCTTAACCCCACACTGCTCCACAGGCGCCCCACGATGGCAGCCCACTGCTCCCCTAGGGGAGGGGTTAAATGCAGAGGTAAATTTCTCCAATGTGAGATCAATAAAGTATAATTACTATTAAAAAGCATTAACAAAACCCAAAACTGTATAAACACGCACACACATCCCTGTGCCAATCGTTCTCATTTATCACAGGTTATTGTCTCCTGCTTTTGCTGATGCCTCTTAGTCTTCTGGAGAGAAGGATGCAGCTGTTGCCTTTCTTGTTCATTTTCCTCAAATTGCGTCAATGTTTTTGTGTTAACGGTCCAATCCAAGCAGAAATTGTCACCAACAACCATCTGTTTAAGGCAAAGTAGAAAGGTTGCTGCTTCAGCAGGAAGTGGAAACCCAGCTTTGGATACAGAGCGAGTGGAAGAATGTTTTCTTTTTCTAGTAACGCAGTACCTCAACCGCATCTGATCTGCGCAGACATCAGGCTCTGGTATTCTGGAATGTCCTCAGTTTAAATACATTTGAATTACGCTTAATTAAGTGGGGGGGGAGAATCTTGCCTATCATTGTTCTCCTAGTTCTGAGGCCACTCGGAGCAGATTCCTCATAACATTTATCTGTGGGATGAAGGTTAGCTTTGACGGCATAATGGCAGAGTGTATATTTAAGTTTCCTGCTGTGATCTATTTTGGATGCAAGTCTTTTCTGAGTGTTTTAAAAACTGTACATTTTATTTTTGTTTTTTTACATCTGAATTGTGTTGGTGACTGAGTTTGACTTTTATTTTGAAAGAATATCTTTTGTACAGCTTTTAGGAGTGTGCCTGTGACTGGCAAGTGAAGCTTCTCTGCAATCAGAAATGTCTGTACAGGGATGTTTGTCATACGTGCACTTTACTCCCTTTTTTTTTTTTTTTTACATTTAATTGGGACTTTCTTTATGTGGGTTTGCTACTTTTAGGGAGCATGCTTGGGCTGTAGTAGGTGTCGGGTATGTGTGTGTGCGTGCGTGTAATGTCGAATACATTTTGAATTTCATTTAAATCTTTATTTGTAAATATTTTATATTATGTACTTCAACTGTGACCATTAAAAAATGGAGATTATTAAATGTAAAGTTTTCTGCGAGTCTTTTTAAAGGGATCTGTAGGTCTAGATACTAGAAAGCACAGGTTATTTCTAGCTGCAAGTAGTTTTTGCCCATTCCTTCTGATTGGTTTGAGGTTCTCCTCTAGTGTCTGTTGATGGGTGGATTCATAATGTTTCAGTTAATTTGGTATTCTTCCAGTGATACTTTTAGGTGATATTAACTTCAGTACCATTTTATGCTACTTGCCCTTCTGATGGCTTCACTGATGAACAACAAGCACTTTTTAAGCAGATGTGGACCAAACACATCCAGTTTATAGTTAAGGATATTTATCATGCATACTGTACAAAGTTTTTTGGTTTTTTTTCTAAGGCTTTTATCTTGGGCAAGTAATTGATCCACTACATAGCATCTCTTGTGACTGGAATTGGTTTGTAGTGCTCAAACATGTACTTTACAATCCTGCCTGTAGGTATTTGTATTAAAAGTGCTGTGACCGGGGCCCCTGTAGTACTGGTTCTGGCCCCTGTAATGGTCCCTATACTGCAGAAGCAATACTGAATACATTTCTAATGGATAAATGCACTTGGACAGAAACGGTCTTGAAAGATTTGTTGGATGTATTATTTATCATTACCTTCACACTTTAATTTCAACAATGTTATAAAAATGAAGGTGTATTAAGAGGGTTTTACTGTTTTAGGGGTGCACTGATTGCAGTTTCCTGGGTTATAACAGTCCTTTTAAAGCCTGACATGCAGATTCCAATTTTGACCAATACCGATATTTTCTTTACAGTAGTTGTTATAGGATAATAATGCACCTTTTTATGTATTCATCTTATTTCATTAAAAATGTAAACGAATACCCGCAAAACAAAAAAATTAGCTTTAATTGGACTCAATAATATTGACAAATATAAATGAAACGTTTAGAGCATCGATGGTGGCTGATTACTAGACTTTTGCAGAGGGTAGATAAGATTCGTGGTCAAGATCAGTTTCATGTATCGGCCAATCACCCAAAATAAAGGAAATTGAGTGGTAAATTGTTGCACTCAGAGAAGATGAAAATAAAAGATGAAATGATGTCCTGTTTTTTTTTTTTTTTTTTGCTTCATTCTTTCATTCAGTGCCACAAATCTGATCTGCAATCGCACTGACAGCAACATTCAGAAATTGGTGTTTTAAAATCTTTATTTGATGTTTTAATGACTTTTTTTCCCCACACTTTGGAATTATAAGAAAATACCATACTTTTATAGCTCTTCTCTTTTTTTAAATGTCAAAACTGATTAAATGACACCTGAGTAGTTGTTTTAACACCAAGAATGTTTTTGTTTTCCCTGAAATATTTAAACATTCTTTTTACCTAATTGTTGATAAAATGTAAAACCCGAACTCCACCAGGGTTATTAACACATTTGCACACACAGTGCATTAAAGTTGATACCTTAGTTTTCAATATTCAACTCTAACAGTGCACTTTTTGGCATTTACTTAATCATATTTAGTGACTTTAACACAATTGTTTCATGTTAGCAGGGTAGGAAACAAAACAATTGTATTAAAGTCACTAAATATGATCAAGTAAATGCCAGAAAGAGTTGTATTATTTGTCAGTGTGAATGACACCATTGTATCTCTTATGCAGCCCTTTAAGTAATGCCCAAGCTGCATCAGTGGTTGACCTCTTCTCATCCGTGGACGCCCAGTTCCACCCCTTGAGCTCGCGTTTCCACGTACTGACTGAGCCTATTCCAAAATAGACAGTACCTCACCCTCCCACCCGCCTGTCCTGCCTGCTCTGTCTGTCTCCCCCCTCTCTCTCGCTCTCTCTCTCCCCCTGCGCCGCGCAGATCCCCCAGTGCGTCCCCTCGCCAGGAGTGCGCACTTCAGGACAGAGGATCGCAGGATACTGAAATAATTCAAACATAATCCATAGAGAAGAAGAAGAGGAGGGGGCAACACAATAGAAAGAAGTTGTCAAGGGAAGAGGGGTCTCCCCAAAACCTAAGGTGAGCTGATTCTGCTCAGATAGGCGCGTCTGTGTTTGCTGCATTGGCGTTAGATGTGTGCTGGCTTACTTCTAACGCATGGAGACTAGAAGACTCCGCACCTTGCTGCTAAATCTTCTATGGCAAAGTGCTGGAACATCAAACAGCCCCTGACTTTCCTCACCTCTCAGAGTTATGTCCTGCTGTTTATGTGTGTTTGCGCAGGGGCCGTTTTAATTTACTGAGAGCTGCAGCGCCACAGGGTCCGCCGCCTGGTTTCTGGGACTATTTGGGACGTTGCAGGCAGGTGGGAGGAGCGGCTCCTGGGTGGGACACATCAGTCCGTCATGTCTATATTAGGAAAGTGGCAGTGTCATTCTTTCGCTCTGTGCCATGCGCAATACGCGCGCGCACAGAGGGCTTTCTCATTAACCTGTGCTAGAAGGACAAAAGCAGTTCAGACTAATGAGTTTTTTTTTATTCACTTGGACAATCATTTAATAGAATATAAAATTACCAGTTTACACACACTTCTTCATTTATATATCGAAAAAAAGGAATTTTATGGTCCACTGATAAACTTGGGGTAGTTAAAAGGAAACCAAAGAGCCTAAAGATAAAAGATTTATTTATTTAATTTTGGTTTTTGCTATGATGAAGCTTAACACGTCCTACTTAAATAATATAAACAGTTCTGGATTATTTCTAAGATTGATTATAAAGTTAAGATTTTTTATTTTAGTGCCTTTAAGTTCAAATTAAACAGATCTAGAATGGAGAAACATACTTTCTTAGTTCCAAAATACTGGTGAAGGTTCTCAGCATTCCAGGTCAGAGTCATTGCAAAAAGTTAAAATACAATCCATTGGACTTTGTTTCCAAGTTTGAAGACTTTTCGCTTCCCCTCCAGGAAGCTTTTCCAATTCAAAATGTCAGAACTAGAACTGAATTCAAAGCTTTTTATGGTAGCCCAAAAACTTGTTTTGGCTTAGAAAACATGCAAATTGAACCAGAAGAACGGTTCCACCCCTGGGGAATCATTTGGGTTCTTTGTTAGCCTGCAGTATTTGAGGGTCTGTTGAGGGAAAACTAATTGATCTGGATGAACTCTCTGTCCTAGGCCCTTCTAATTGTATTGCAGTTTTCCCAATGGCACTCCAACGGACCTATCATCACTCACTGAATGGAGGCAGGCAGGTTAAGAGTTATGGGGAAACTAATCAACAAACTTTAAATTGTTCTGAATTTTATAGTTTAAGTTTCCTGCTGACTGACAGTAATGGCCAATTTATGAAATAAACATAATCTTTCTACAGTTTATAAACTGCGTGATTAAAATACGTTCATTAAAATCATCATCCTCACATATATTTAAATCCTAGCCCAATTAGATCCTATTAGTTTGTTTGCTTTTAAACTGCATTTTCTGCTGCAGAGATTATTCTGAAACTTCTGCTGTTAGCCTTCTTAAAAAGCACTTACCTCATTAGTTTCATAAAGAAAACAATTTTTCCACATGTCGAGAGAGAAGAACTTTGTAAATCATAGCAAGTTACTGTGATAGAGAAAAACGTTCTAAAACTACATCTCCAAGCAAATGGTGTTTCATTTGCTTTATTACTGTTGCTAAGCCAGTTTAAGCCGAATGCAAATTTGACTTTTTGCTCCAAATAAGAACGTCTCCTGATCAAAATTTTTATCATGTAATGTGTCACCCAGTATTAACATATCAGCCTTAGATCTCTGTTGAACACCGTATATGATAAATGAGAAGAACTAACATACAACTTTATTCAAAACACTTATGCAATGTTGTTTATGCTTGATGAAATATAAAAAAAAACTAGTCTGTTTTAATTTTTTTATGCTTAAATATGTTTTAAAATATATAAAAACTTTATTTAAAAAAATACAAGTTCAATTTGCAGATCTAAGAGCCCCAAATGCTTCAGAGGCCGCAGGCTGGAATGTAAATCTCTAGATAATGTAGAGCTTCTAGGAAAGCAGCTAGGGCTTCCTGTACCCTCATCACTCTTGTCAAGTCATGTCTGTCCTGCTATTTGAGGTCATTTCTGAGTCGTATGTTCTACTGTGAAATCATCCAACATCTCACTTTCAGTGGGCCCTCTTCAACATTTTATTCTACAATCTTTAAAACCCATGCATAGACTTTTATTTCTTCAATCTATATTTCTAAGCAGTGGAAAGTTCTTCAAATACCTTAAAACTGTTTAGATAAGAAGTTACCCCAGCAATTTTTATGTTTTCCAAAGAGTTTATTTGGACTTTCACAGCTTGTTGGCACACATTTCCAATCATTAGTATTCTTTAAATTAGTTCTTCATAAATAGATTTTGGTCAGATTCTTCTTATGTGATTACCTCTGGTTTCATTGTATCACAGCTTTAATAAAGAAAAAAAATATTTCAAACTGTTTTTTTTTTTTTTTTTTTTTTACATTAACTTCTGACTTCTGTTATTTTTTATTTTCTGTTAAGTGATGCTCAGGCTACATTTTTCTGTCAGTGGGGTTCACAATTTTTGTCATGTGGGCTAAATATTTAAGGGTCAAAAGAATAAATGTTTAGAAGTATAAAGTAGAGGTAAGGATTGTTTTTGTCTATTGTAAGAAAAATAAGAGAAATGTGTCAATTAAGGAAAAAAAATACTATTATGTTTAACAAATGTTTATAGCTGTAATAGAATGAAGCGTATATTAAGGGGTCCAAGTCTAGTTTTAAGTAAGATTTACTAGGCATTTGTGGTTCTATCTATTGACAAACTAAGAACAATGAATGAAGCATGGCTATTAGAGGGAATACTTTGCGTTATGCTATGCCAACATTTACTGTTATGATAAGAATTTAAATAGACAGCAAATTTGATCCTTCAAAAGCTGCATTTGGGAGCCTCTTTAAATGAGAAAATGGCCCCTGGGCACCACATTGGATACACCTGTCTAAGAGAACTCTCGTCACTCCACCTATTGGTTTCTCTGGAGACGTATTAATATAATTAAAAAAGAAGGGCGAAAAATGTATTAGGAAATGTAAACATGATTTACTTTTTTAACCTTTGTGGAGTTTGAAACTGGAAAGTATAGCTAAAAACAACATATCTGCAGGACCTGGCTGCTACATCACCTTAGATTAATATAAGCCACTTTTTTTTCTTTTTTTTTTTTTAGCAAATCACTCTTTGGGAGTCATTTAGATGATGAATAGCGTATTTGATCTTTGATCAGACTGGGGTTTTCTGTGGTATTTGGTGTATTTCTATTGAAGGCAGTTTAATAAAAATTTCCTATTGTTATAGGTTGTACTGTAACATCAAAATGACCAGAAATCTATTTAATAGCTAGTTAATAGTTTGAATATTTTTTTTATAGCTAAATGAACAAAGGCTCTGAATTAAAGTGGCTTGATGAAATGAAAACTCTGCTGTTGAATAAGCAGCCATAATTCAATGTAAAGCTTGAACAGCTTGAAAAATATTCTGATCAAGACCACTTTAAAAGATTAAAACAAGATGCAGCAGTTTGGAAATAAAGCATAGAGAATAAGAGGTGACTGAAATACTGCTCTTCAATATTTCACGTTCAGATCAAATTCTTTCTCAGTGCGGTCTTGAAGAATATATTCCTGCTTTATCCCCTTATGTGTGATTGCTTTTCATTTTTTTTATGAAACCTAATATTTGCTCAGACATTCTACTATTAATATCTGATTGCAAACATTGTTATACAATATCCCCTGTGTTTTTGGAGGATTAGAGGTCTGCCGCTCTGCAGCCTGCAGTAGCTGCTGTACAGCAAGTCGTCTATCAGCAAGCAGCTAAAAGCTTGAAGGGCTTTTAGGTCATGTAGCTAACGCACAGGGATATTTAAAGCTGCAAGATGTTCCTCAACTAACAGACAGTGTCCACATAAAAATATATAACGGATGAAGAGGGATGAAATTCTTTTTTAAACACTCTCCTTTTAAACACATGACCTTTTTTCATAAAAAAAGTGTTAATAGATTAGTTATTTGAAATGTAAAAAAACCATTTGTATTTAAATCAAATAACTGTACACAGACACTATTGGGTTTATGAGAACATTAGCATTTAATGTTTGTGGAAAAACTAAAACTTAAAAAAACAAACAAATCAAGTTTAATAAAAACACAAAACGAATGGGCTTTGAATAATCTAATCAATATATGATAATTTAGGAAACTCCTAAAACTAAAACAAATTGGGAAAAAAAAATGAGGAAATGTTTTCATGATATTTAAAGCTGCTTGTCATGTCTGTTAAATGTAGAATAATGTTGTTTAGGTTTGATCAGACTGAATATTTTTGGACTAGAGGTGATAAGAATCTAAATTTTTTTTTTATTTCTTCATTTATTATTATTATTATTTATTATTATTATTATTATTATTACATTTTTGGACCAAAGCTGTTTATTGAACATGTTTTCTAAAAGAAAACTTGTCTCAAATCCTACTAATGCCTTACGCCATCTAGTGGAAAATTCAATTACTACAGGTCAAAAGTGCTAGTTTTAGTCCAACATCTTAAAAATATACATGTAAGTCTTGTTACGATAAAAAAAATTTTTCGTGGTCAGAAGAATAAAAATGAAAAAAGGAAAAAACAATAATAGTTACAAGATTTCTATTGATTAAGTTATAGAGGAAATGACTTCATTTACAAAAACAAAAATTGCATGCGTGCATTAGTTTAATGCCTAAAGTGTGCATGTATCTTTTACAAGGCTGTGCATCATTTACTAGTTAGTTAGTGTTCTGTACCACTTTCTAAAACATTCATATCAAATTGTAATTTTTAAATGTAATTTTGACCTAAATATTTTGGAAGAATTAAGTAATTTTAGAATTTAAACAATACATGATATCAACATTATGACACTGCAGTGTTTATATTTGATTAAAATTTTGTAAATAAACTTAATAAACTAATGCTCAGTGACGCAGTGGGAAGCACTGCTGCCTTGCAGAAAGAAGGTTCCAGGTTCGATTCCCAGTCTTTCTGCATGAGTTTTTTTCTGGGTACTCCCGCTTCCTCCCAAAGTCCAAAAACATGACTGTTATGTTAATTGACTGATGGAAAATGGATGGATGGATGAACACCAGAAGAGATGTTATTTTAGACTTTAACAAGGTAAAGCATTCCATGGAAAAGCCTCAAATTAACTGTGTAGCATGCAGGCAGATGTGTCATGGTTTGGCTTCAGAATAAAGCAACCAATTAGGAAGTTATTTTAGTATTTGAACCAGTGGTTCAAATGTATTCTCACAGGGTTAACGATTCAATCAAATCTTGTCTATCACTCTGATTTTTTGTACAAAACTCTGGTAATAGAAGAATTGCATCTGAAAAAAATAGTGATAGTTATAAATATACGGTAGTACAATTTTATGCTTCAATCTCCCCCACATACCTGTGATCCAGTATTTTGGGGTTAATTTAGACTGAATCATGATAACAGCAACTTTACAGCACTCCAGGAGGCAGAATTGACAATAATAGAAAATTCAACAGTGCAAGATTTTCTGCCACAAGACATTATAGCACTGGTTTTGTGAATATTGCAAATTTTTTCATCTTTAATGAGCTTTAGTCCTTCTTTGCCTAATTGTCAACCTAGTCCTCTTCCTTATGTACCATCCTGCTTGTGCTTCTCCCCTAGTCATGAGTCGCAGCATCGTGCGGCAGAGTAAGTTTCGCCACGTCTTCGGGCAGGCTGTCAAAGCTGAGCAGGCTTACGATGACATCCGGGTCTCCAAGGTGACATGGGACAGCTCCTTTTGTGCTGTCAATCCAAAGTTCTTGGCCGTCATTGTGGAGTCCAGCGGAGGAGGAGCGTTTCTTGTCTTACCTCTCTCCAAGGTCAGTAAGAATCAAGCTGATCAAATGTTTCCCATAAATGAAATTTTATTGTTGTAAATCTAATATTTTGTAATACTATAGGGAAATTACAGTTTCACTGTAATTTCTTTTGAAATAATTAGGTTAGATTTTTGTTACCTCCATTATTTTTTTGATGCAATCCCTTCATTTGATGACAATTTCCCATACATAAAAATAAATTCTCATCTCAGATTCTCCAATTCTGAAATTTTGAATTAAATAATGTCAATTAAAAAATGTTTGTAAAAATATCAACATTTTGTTATGAATAACTGATTTGATTCTTAAATGAGCGCAATAATTTCTTATGAAGTAAATAGTATTATCTTTCATATCAATAAATATAGTAGTACTAAGCAGTAAAATGTGGTACATTAGTTACTTACTAAAATTTCAACCTGATGCCACAATGATTACCATTAGATTGTAAGAACATGATCGTGTTCTTGCCCTCTTATCCCCACCTCCCTTATAACCTGATAATAACCTTGAAATAATGTTAATTGTTTGGTAAATCGTGTTTCAAGGTTGAATTAGTGGCAGCATTTGGCTGTAACAGGCTTCAGTCATTTATGACGAAGCATTCAGCAGACAGCTGTGTGAGGTCAAATATTTTTTGTGACCTCCAAATGTTTGAAATACATAGAAAAGTCAATATCTCCTTCCTTAGTGGCGGTCCTAAAAGCTAAAAGCAATGAGAAAGTCGACAAACAGAAAAAAAAAGAAAACAGTTGCAAAAGCTCACCCTTTTTTTTCTATACAATGATAATATTTATAAAAACAAAAGCTGAAATTCTCAGCTCATGTGCAACATCAACACTTGAGAAACAGTGAACATTTTCAATTTAGGACATTAAATTATTATTATTATTCATTCCTGCTTCTACAGTAGTTTCATTCTCAACGTATTTAAAGGATAAATCCTATAAAGCTTTTGTGTTATGATTAAAAATAATAATAATAATAAAAAAAATAAAATTATATACATATTACCAGAGTCAGACTAATTAACCAGCCTATTTGGCTTTCTTTGAACTTGCAAAACAGCAAAAAGATACAATACTAATTTACAATTAAACAAATGCTTAAATATTTGTTCTATAATATTAGTATAATTTTAGTTCACTTTATTATTTTAGCAGCAATATGAACTATTTAGGATTGTCTCCTTTATATAAAAAGAAGTTAGATTATGTTAAAATGTTTTTATTTAATATTGTTGTTATTTTTCTGTATTCTAAGAAGTGGTTATCCTTTCTTAGACTGCTTTAATAATTATAAGTAATTATTTGAGTTATTCTCCGTGCATTCAGCATTAATTCAAGCAGTGAAGAACCTCTGGTATAGGCACTGAGACTTAGCTGTTTAAAAAAAAAAAAGAAAACTTTTTAAAGACTGTGCTAGTATACAATATTTGTTATCTGAGGGCTTACTCATTTCAAGTCTTTTAAAAAATATGATAATTGTTTATAGTAATAAGAAGTGTTTTTTTTTCTTCATAGTAAAGCCTTTTCTGAGTTATGTTGGAAAAAAAGCACAAGATTGATAATAAGTAGCTACTTCTTTTAATCTGTCTTGTTTATTTTAACAATAATATTTCTTAATTGTTTGTAAATGTATTATTTAAAAATGCAAAGTAATATCTAATATTTAAGCAGAAACTGAAAAGTCATGTTGAGTAGTTGTGCTATTTATAACACCGGACTGCTCTTCATCCTCCCTAACTCCTCTCTGGGTCCCCAACAGGCAACAAGAAAAACTCCCCTTTCAACGGCCTGTCATTGGATCTATAAATACACCTCGCTTAGCATGTGTCTGTGTGGAGGGGGAGATGTTTCTAATGCTGATACACATGTTTGCATGATAAGAGCCAGTCATTTTTGCTTTTCTTTTTTCCTATTTGATCTATTTATGCTGCTATGTGTTTGCAGACTTCCTAAAAGTATTTTATATATTACCATGGTCACAATCATGCTGTTTACCCAGCAACTTGCTCAGACCCAAAATAATATAATTTTCCCATTGCTGGTGAACAAACTGCAACTTGTTAGCAAGCTAAAATAAGAGAGCAGTAGGTGCAAAAAAAGACGCATTGATATGGAAGTAAAAGTCTAAAATAGTGAAGAGTTAAAAAATAAACACATGAAATATTATCCTGTAAAGTGTTTTAACAATATAAACATTGTGCACCTGGAGAATAAATAACCAATATACAGCTATGGACATTTTTACAGTAATGCATATTTGAAAATAGCAGCAACATGAGAGATATGCAAAATGACAGCAGCATGTTATTTAACTGACTAAGAAACTGTGCAAAAATCAGCATGAATGTAACAACTTATTGAGGTTATTTGGAAAAGTGATGGTTATAAAGTCTTACAGCAGCTTGGATGAAGGATCTGTGATAACGTTCCCTGGTGCATTTAGGGTGCAGTCTGTCACTGATGGAGGTTCAGCAAAATGTCTTTAAATCTTATCAAAAAATAAGATAGGCCATGTATTGTGTTGCTAATATTCCTATTATTTATCTGGATGGCATGAATGTATAAGGAAAACATGGGATTGCATTAATATTTTTCTATATAAAATGTAGCTCAGTTCAGGTCTTTGTTAAACTCAGATAAAGTATCAGTGCTGTATGGCTACCCTGGGCTGCTCTTTAAGTTATTTTAGTCTGGTTATTACATATCAGTACAAAAAAACAGCCCTTATTTCTTTATTAATCCTAACAGAAACCAATCAGTGAAGTATAAACATTCAAGATGTTAAAATTTATATTTATGAAAGACTTTGTGGTATTTCATAAACCTTTGGAAATTTGAAGATAAGCTGTTTAGCGTTCTTGCTGTTCTAAATAATTTTAAGCAATTGCAATAAATGCTTGGTTGTTTTGATATTGATTCACTGAGCTGGCACAAAAAATAAAGTTTTTTAAATATTTTTTATTTAAGTTGACCTAACCCTGAAGTATGAGGAAGATTCCTAAAACTACACAGTATTTTATAAATTTAAATGGTTGTTATATTAACTCTATGAATTTACCCTTTTTCATTGAAACACAAGTTCATACTTTTGTCATAAGGTCTGACTTAAATTGTGATACAATATATTTATTTCATTTTTAAATGCCAGCCTGACCCAAATTCCTAAACTACTCCTCAGTATTTAGTCAGGTTTTCCAGAGTCCTTCTTATGACCTGATTATTTGACTCAGGTATGTTGAAGCAGAGGCACTTCTAAAAGATGAAGGATATCGGACCCCGAGGACTGACATTAAAGACCTCTGTTTTAGACAGTGAAGGTTAGCAGTGTAGTTCCCTCATTATCAGTAAGTGAAGCACTTTATTTTCACAATCAGATTGCTTTACTTTTTGGGTAAAGGATTTATAGTGAGGTTTTTATGATATTCTTTATTTTTAAAGCATTTAGTTAAAAACAAATAAATCTTTAAGGCTTGACCATGAGCTGGATGACTGAGAATCTTCACAGATATTTGATAAAAAAAATAATAAATGCATGAACTAGTTTAACTTTTTTCTTTGTCTTGCAGACAGGGCGTGTGGATAAGAACTACCCGCTTGTAATTGGCCACTCTGGACCTGTGCTGGATATTGACTGGTGCCCTCATGATGACAACATCCTGGCCAGCTGCTCAGAAGACTGCACTGCAATGGTATTACCATTTCTATTGTCTTATTTTTATTTATTTTTTATTGTGTAGATGTGTTTATGGGTGGCAAATAAGCCGTTACCACACACGTAGGGCACGCAGATTATTCTCTGAAGAGGAAAGATGTTCATTGCAGAGACACACAAGCATGCACTCACACCTTAGTGGGATTTGGAGTCACCAGTTAACCTTACTGTGATGTTATTGGACTATGGGAGAAAACCCACGTATGTACAGGGAGAACATGCAAACTCCATGCAAAGACCCTAAGGCTACACATTTGACTTTGCCTCTTCTTGTTGTTAGGCAACAGTGGTACAAACCGCTCCACCGTGCAGCATGACTATTCTTGATATTATTGTTAAATATTATCCTATATTTATTAAGTCTGCACACCTAAAATTATAGAATAAAATCATAGTTGAAATATTTAATAAATGAGCTGCATTGATATATCTGCTTGCAAAGCTTTCTAGCTGGATTTGTTTTATGCTTTATATAAAGATTTATTTCAACAATTTTTAATGTACAGCTCAATGGAATCTAAAAAAATATATTTATTTTTGTTACAAATCCTTACAAATGCAACAGATTATTTCCTTGTTTCTTCGGTTATTTGTTTAACTTTGATCAATTTGGCTTTGGTTTTCTGTTATGAACAATAGCTGAGGAATATGTTAAAAATGTCATAATGTTAGGTCTTTACTTTGCTTTATAGTATCTAAAGTCATAGTGCATATACTAATAGTCCTACTTCATCTTTTTGCTCATTTAAACGGACTGCTAGCTTAGAGCTTTATTGTAGTCCACTTTAAAATTATGATTTAAGTTTTATCTGGTTGACAAATTCCATGATGGTCATGTACATGATTTACTTGTGTTACTTGTGGTGAAATCCAATCGGCTAAGAAGATTTCAGGCATGTCTCAAATATATATAAAACATGGGTGACTTTAAATTTGTTTTTCTTAAGATTCAGACAAGACAGAAGTTCTACTTTTTGGACAAGAGTGTGAGAGTTTGAATAAGAAACTTTTTTACTTAGTCAAATCAACTTTAGCACTTCAAAGAAATTATGTGTTACAGTAAAAAATAATAATGTAGAGTTTAATAGAAATTAGATATTTCCTTTTTACTTTGTGTAATGTATTTTTTAATATAACCTAAAACATGCATTAAGTGCTGTCTTTACTATTGGGAAGTCCACAAAATGCATCTGAGACCAGACTCCCTTTCGAAAATGTTATACTGTAGCAAGAGTTCTGATGAAAAGTAAAAAAAAAAATCTGTTTCTCCTTTTAAGCTTCACTAAGCCAAAAATTTACGAGATAAACTAATTTCATGACATTGTGTCTGGGTTAAGTCCTCCTTTAACAAACTAAATGCCTAATGTTTAAACAGGACAAACCTGAAGCATTCTGAGTAAATATGTAAACAGGCACCTGATGTGACTTAGCTGTGTTTGATTTCAGACATTTTAAGTGGGAATAAATGGGAGGCATGTCCCAATTTTACACTCAAATTACAGCAATTGCATTTTAAAATATATATATATTTTACTTTATTTCTACTTAATTTATATAACTTGAAAAGTAATGTTCCCATATGAAGCTGGGTGTCGTGTTTATGAGTGATGGTAGGATGTCGTGGAAGATGGCTTTAAGAGATTCATCTGCAGTTCTGCGCTCCCTTTCCCAACCTGCCTTGATGAAGAAATAGTTGTCAGAAAACACAGCTCCTGATTTACTGGTCGGTCTACATTCCCTCTCCTTTGGTCATTACATATGGTTTAAACAAAACAAAAAAAAAAAATCACAAAGACAACTGTCTGAACCTTTCTGGAATCAGGTCACTCATTTCAGAGTGACCTGATTTAGCCTCAGAGATGCGATAAGAAGCTGTGTGATCTGATGGAATTTTGAAAAAGATCTGTTGATCTAATTGGGATGCTTCTTGGATCCTTTGGAGGCACGTCTCATCAGGAGGAAACCCCATATTTCTCCCCTAAAAAAAATCTTCAACAAATGTAAAACTGATTTTCGGTTTTTATGATAATCTAGTATTAGCCATAACAGAGATAATTTTCTTTTTTATTATACTGCTAATGCCATTGGAGATTAACAAAATATTCTCAAACTGGAATTTATTGAACAGTATTCCCCAATTGAGGATGTATTTTATCACGAGACTCTAAAATACATGTTATTCTTTAATTTCCTAATTTTTTAAGATTAAATATTCTGGCATATAAAACACATGGAGTGTTGTGCATTATGGCATCTAGTATGTGAGTCAGCTGTAACATTTTTAGCTGAACAATCAAAGCCTGTTTCAACATTTGTGCATTGGAGCACCTGTCACTGATACGCCCACTTGTTCATGTCAATGTTGGCAGGAATCTGCATGATGTAATGACTGGATTGCTGTTTTTTTTTTTTTTGGGGGGGGGGTAGCAGCTGCACCAACACTGCTTAGATATGTGTATGGGGTGTGTGTGTGTGTGTGTGGGTGTGAATTTGTACTGTAGATGGTCTTTGTTTATATCAAACAGCACACAGTCAGATGCAGCTGTCTCCAGAGTGGATTTACAGAAAGGCCAAAACTCTGAAGTCATTCTCTTTATTTTACAGTCAGGTCATTGTACCAGCTGGAAAGGCTCTGTAGAGAGAGTTAATGTGCGAGTGATGCTTTGCTTCTGTGTAGAAACACTGCATGTTTATATTTATTACTGAGAGTATAATCAAGTTGTTCGGTCCTCTCCTGGAGCCTGTATGCAAAGCAGGATTATCGAGGTAACTTTAGCTTCTTACTGGGATTCTCTAATTCATAAAGCTGGTTCACTTTTTTTATCACAAAGGCCACTTATGCTGTAAAACCCTAACCTGCTTTGGGGCAGATTTCCATTGTAAAGTGCAACAAAGTGAAATCATTTTTAAAGAAAAACAAAAAAGTTAAAACGTTGGTGCATTCGCACTTTAAACCTGATAACTTTTGACCTGTTTGGAAAAGCATTTGGAAACCAGAGATGAAGTGAAAAGAGCTCCTAAAACAACAGAGCATTTGCACAGAGTTTACATTTGAAACCCTCTCTGATGTCCAAGAGCAGACAACTATTAAATACTATGAACTTTGATTAAATGTTGGTAACATTGATATTTAAGTCTGTGCAGTGTTAACAGATTACTCTACATGTTTTAATTACTGATTACTTAACTCCACCTGTTTCACACAAAAGGGCTTACTACATTCATTCACAGTCTGTTCCTATTGTACACTAGTACTTGGTTGGGAAATAATAAAATCTTTCTTTCATGTAATGAATAACTTTCTGAATAGGCTAAACAAAAGAAGAAAATTCCTTAAACAGAGTTAGACAAATGTGACTCATTTGAAGTCGTTAAACGTCCTGCTGCACCTGTTTTGATTGACGCTTATAGTACACATGAACATGATGGACTTGATTTGTGCAGCTGTCATCTTAGAGATGAAGTCAATGTTTTAATTTATAGTTACAAACATGGTAAATCTGCCAATAATGGTCCATCCAGCTGATGGAATAGATCATATAAGGAGACATAAAGTATCTATGAAACTAGCTCCAGATAATTGGCAGGACAATTTACTAAATTAAGTTTTTAAAACAAAGGGTCTATCATGTAAACATACTAAATTATAAATACTAGATCAATATCTCATAATTATGAGATTTTTTTGCTTTGGTAAATGCAATACGCTTCTGTACTTGGTTGAGTCATTAATTTCATAAGATTAAATGTATAAAGTTAAAGACAGGGTAGGGTTAAACTGCTCCCTGTAGTCTGAAGGCCTGTGTAACTATCAAATGAATAAATAATTTGTTTAATAATTCTTTAGAATAAAACAGAAATAACCTTTTATTATCCCACAGTGCAGAAAGTTAGATGTACCAGCAGGAAAATGAAACATGTAGATGCACACAGGTGTAAAAAAAAACAAACAAGACCAAGGGACTAGTAAAGGCAAGTTTGCAACATAAGAAAAATACTGTAAAGTTATTTAAAAAACAAAAGAATGAATGGAATATTATGTTAAGTAAAAATGGGATATCATGTAAATCTAATAGTTAAATGTGTAACTAATTTACAGAGTAAAAAGATTATACAATTCAATTAGTATGTAGTTTTCCTGTTAACATTCTAAATAGATTATATGATAATTTATTCATTGAATTATTCATCTCTTATTTCCTGTGTTGTAAAAATTTAAAACTAATGATAAAGCTGTATTTTGAAGATTTAACACTTTAATTTTCAACACTTTAAAGATTTATTGCAGCATTGACTTAGCAGATAATAACCAACTAGTTTCTTTGTTCTTCAGGTCTGGCAGATCCCAGATCACTCCCTGACCCGCCCCCTTTCTGATCCCGTCGTCGTGTTAGAGGGACACTCCAAACGAGTGGGAATCGTTAGCTGGCATCCCACAGCACGCAACATCCTCCTCACTGCCGGTAGGATCCATAAACACAGACACAGCTTTTTATTAAGTAGCAGTGATGTTAGAAACCAGAGAAAGCTTTCAGAAGATGAATAAACATGTTTCTTTTTTGGCGCTGTCCCTTTCCAGGCAGTGACAACCTGATCATAATTTGGAATGTGGGCACAGGTGAACCTCTCATCTCCATGGACGACCATCCAGATCTAATCTACAGCGTCAGCTGGAACCGGAATGGCAGCCTGTTTTGCACCACCTGTAAGGATCGACGCCTGCGTGTATGTGACCCTCGAAAGAGGGAAGTGGTGGCGGTGAGTGGGTTGCAAGTACTTAGAGATTCATCAAAACATCAATGAGCAAACCAGTCAGGGATAAAGTTGTCTAGAGTTTAAAAAAAAAAATCATATTCAGCTTTCACAGCTGGAAAACACTACAAGACAACCAGTCCCATTGTAGGAGTGAAACATACACAAAACGAATAAAATCAACTAAAGCAAATGGAACTTACAAAAAAAGCAGAGCCTATGTGAAACTGTGTTACTGTTGTAAACAACTGGTTAATCATGTCTTCCCTTAAATGTCAACCCTTTCCCCCATTTTTTTTGCAAACATATCTTCTTTTATTTTCAACTTATATGCTAGATGTTCAACCACCATTATATCCTTTATAATTGACATCCACTGCTGGGAGTATCAAACTTTTGAAAATATGATGCGTAAGATCATCCAAAACTTTAGAGAATCTCATATGTTTGTCTTAATAAAGGAGACACACTTTTCCACAATTGGTCTTTAATTCGTAGTTTTCTTAGTCAATAGTTATCTTCTTCCATCAAAGTCCTAAGGACAGATCAGTCCAGATCAGTCCCTCTAAAAAAAATAACAACATTTAACTATACAAGATGATGTTATATTTTTTCCAGTCTGTAGTAGGTAAGAGAAAAGAGTGTCATTGACTTATGAACTTTAAGAAGAGCTGGACTCTAAGTGAAAGGCCACTTAGAGTCCACTTATCCAGGAAAAAACTTCTGTTGTTTCATCTTTCCTTGTTATTCTAACAGGAACGGCTGGCTCCACATGAGGGCATCCGACCGATGAGAGCCATTTTCATAAGAGACGGAAACATTTTCACAACCGGATTCACTCGGATGAGCCAGAGAGAGCTCGGCCTCTGGGACCCGGTAACAAAACAGAACATTTCAAAAAGTCTTTACCAGGAAGCAAAAAGAAAACAGGCTGATCAAATTGCAAAATAAGGCTGAATGAATTTATTGTTTTTATTCTTACAGACAAACTTTGAAGAGCCTATAGCACTTTTGGAGTTGGACACAAGTAACGGAGTGTTATTACCTTATTATGATGCAGACGCAAACATGGTCTACTTGTGTGGAAAGGTACATGGTTCTTTATTTCAAAATGTCAAATATTGATCCTATTAATCAGCTAATATGGGTTTATTTATTTAGCACTGATTCAACAAAGAGATTATATAAGGAAACTTCAAAGCACAAACAGTCCTTTTGTACCTGTTTAATTAAATCGGTCCAGTTTGTAGAATGGATAAAGTTCAAAGAAAAAATTCTAATTTGATCCTACTGCATTGCATTCAAGTTAAGTTAAGTTAGGTATTTTTGTATATATATGTTTTACAAATAGTCATATTTCTAACTCTAATTAAAGGTATAGTGGAGGATGTTCTTTTTCCGGGTGGATCATCAAAACAAGTGGTCCTCCTAATTGTCAATCATTCTGGTGATATGTTTACGTAATGCCATCCTACATGCTCATCCCCATTTTTACTTACCGGTGGTGAGTCTGGCATAGTGGAGGAATTGCAAATCTTTTGGAAAGTAAGCTTATATGAGCAATGCAAAAAACAACCTTTAAACAGAGCGTGCACAAGGAGAAATTGGCTCGTGCACGCTCTCGCAATAATAAGCGTTCCCTCTCGGGAGCGGGTACAGGGTTGTGCATGTGTATTTTATTTAAAGTGGAGAGGGCGGGTCTTTTCCAAAACTCATGAAAATCCTCCATTGACCTTTAAGGCAGTGAGCTGTTTTGGTCAGAACGTTCCATCTGTTGGTTTTTTACTCTCGCAGGGGGACAGCAGTATCCGTTACTTCGAGATCACAGAGGAGTCGCCATATGTCCATTACCTCAACACCTTCAGCAGTAAGGAGCCCCAAAGAGGGATGGGCTTCATGCCTAAGAGAGGAGTGGATGTTACCAAATGTGAGATTGCACGGTAAGATACTGCAGGTGCAGCACTACTCCAATAAGTGCTTTAGTAAAGTGCTCTGTGATTTCTTTTTAGTATTTTCGCCTCTCTATTCTCACAGTAAATGTTATGCTACTCACAGGTTATTTTAATCATTCCGAAATCATTATAACTTTTTATAGTGTAACACCATTACATCATCCAGTAATGCTAATCTCTGTACGTAATTTATGACCATTGTTTATTTAGAAATCATGTGTAATAAACATATGGCTGATGTATCACTGTTCGTTTGATTCATTGCAACCGTGTATTCTCTTCCAGGTTGTACAAGCTGCTTGATAAAAAGTGTGAGCCCATCACCATGACCGTTCCTAGGAAAGTAAGTGCAGCTGACACTGCTTACAGTGCTAAGCTTTTCGCTAAAAATTGATGGTGGTACAAACTGTGTGTAGAATTGTAGTTTAAATTGTTTATAGAAATATGTGATTTAGAACTTATTTTATATTTATGCAGTAGTAAGAACTGTAATTATTTCACACACTGATTCATCACCACTTTCACAATTTATATAAATCTTCAAATAATCTATATCAACTGGTCTAGGGACTACAGATGAGTTAATTAACATTTCTGGGTATAAACTGCCAAAATGCATCTTTCTTATTTTAAGGTTAATGAAATAATGTACATGGTCTCTGTAGAAAAATAACTATCATCATCATATTATTATTATTTTATTTATATTTATTAATTATACACTTAAAGTTGATTTATCAAAGAGGAATTTTAAATTTGATTTTTTAATCAATTTTTTTTAAAATATTGGACTTCAAAGGTGTGGTTTCAAATCCTATTTCCAAATGGATATTTAAAACCCTCAATTAATACCTTTTTAAGTCACACATTTAAAGAGGTAATTCCTTTTTCCGCTTTTCCTTTTCAATATTGCATTTCTAAGTATCGAAAATAATCGAATCATTGGATCAGGAAATTGATACTGAATCGAATCGCCATGATTTACAGTAGTGTGATTTGGACTGCCACACTTGGTTCACAAAATGGCCACTAAAGGAGTTTAAACTTATTTTCTGTTTTGGGTTCTCATACAGCATTGAAATGTAAAACCTAGATGATTCAGTAATAAAAAAAGTAAGCGAATAAGCTCACAGAGACTGTGGATCTCATATCACTGATCCAAGTAAACGTGATCTTTTCAGAATAGAGACGCATCAAACCTCACCCACATAACTAAAAGATGATAAAACACTTTTATCTCAACATCTCCCTTTTCTCAGTTTAAAAACGGGGTGCATTATATATTGAATTACTTTCACCTTGAATAAAGGACAGCTTGAATCTAACATTTAATATGGATTATATTTCAAATTGCAGGCATGCTCTGTAAAGTAATATGGTTTGGATGGATTAACCCTTTAATGCCTGTGTCTGATTTTTCTTATATGAGGGTGATTTGGAGATTTATAGTACCGGTAGATGCATATTTAGTAAAGAAATGGTCAGAAATCAGTTTCATTTAAAAATACCAAGTGGAACCTTATGACAAGAACCCTAATGTTCTGCATGTGGAAGCCGAATCTGTTGGGCTATCATCTAACTCTAACTCTAAGAAGCGATTCCCAAAGCTATATCCGTGAAACAGGACACAAAAAAAGAGTCAGAAATATAGATCAATCATTCACAGTATTGGTATTGCAATTTGTCAATATGAGTGAATATGTATTATGCCAATATTGTGTTGCTCGAATCTGTATCACATTTAAACAGGAAATTTATAACATACAGCAGCTTTAGGCATGCATATTGAAAGAGCTGCAATTGCTCTGGAGAAACACAATAAAAGTAACCCTGCTCTTCTTCCTGGACTCTCTCTGGTACAGTCCGACCTATTCCAGGATGACTTGTACCCTGACACAGCAGGCCCAGATCCTGCCATGGAGCCCGAAGAGTGGTTGGATGGTCGTGATGAAGACCCCATCCTGATCTCCATGAGGGATGGTTACGTGCCTCCGAAGAGCCGAGAGCTGAAAGTGGCCAAGAAAAACGTGTTGGAATCCAGACCCACCACCAGACGTAGCATGTCCACCTTGGACACCAACAGCTTGCCTGTAAGTTTTGGATCTTTTCTGTTCAGACTTACCATATCTAATGCATTGTCAAAGTATACTGAAATTAAATAAAAACTTGATTAAATTAATTATAATATTTCTGCTTAAATATTAAATGTTGTTAAAATAATTAATATTGTTTATATTAATATTTTTGTTAAAAAAACAACCATTTCCTTATATTTTTGCCTAACATCCCCTTTATTGAACCTTTTTTCTTATTTTTTCTTATTGCACTTTTGCACGACCTCTCTACCCAAAACACCCATCTGTGTTTTAGTTTAGTTTCTCTAGTTGGTCACTACCCTTGACCTTTTTTTCTGTCTTTCTTCATCATTCTCCCCTTTTCATTACTTTACGTTTTCCTTTCTTCCCTCTTTCTGCATCTGTCCTGTTTTTTTGTTATGTTTGTTCCTGCCCAGCCTCAGCTGCTTGAGAGACTCCTGGAGGAGCTTCAGAACCTGAAGGCCACAGTTTTGTCACAGGAGAAGCGGATCTGTGACTTGGAAAATAAGCTTTCCCAGTACACCAATGGCACTGCTTGATGCACATGTGAACACATCCCTTAAAGAACCAGTCTGAATTTTAGAATCACCGTTATCATAGAAATGCGTTTTCACTGCACCGAAAAGAAATGTCCCTTCTGAATATCCATAGCCAGACTGCCTCATTTAAAGGCACACTGTGTAACTTTTGGCCACTAGGGACGCTATACCTGTAACTGCTGGTATTTGCTTCTACCAAACATCTGCCATGGTCCCTAGTTTTCTGACCCACATGCAGAACACACCAAGCAGACAGGAAGGGCAGATTTAAGTTTGTTTATTTAAAAAAAACAAAGACGACACGCAGATTTTCCTTCAGGGCGTCTTGAAACGAAGGGAGCGTGAGGCACACTGCTACAGAGAGCGATAGTTAATGGGAGTATGTGTACGATGAAAATGACAGCATTAAAAAGCTTACAGCGTGAGACATGAACGATCCACTGGGGGGAGTGAGTCGGGCTGGGGAGGTCCATAGGTGGGATATGCAGGAGCTTGCAGCGGGGAAGGTGGCTGCCAAGCAGGAGGAGGCTGGTAAGTAGACGGTTAGGCAGGGTTCGGCCGATCAGTTTGTGGGGTGGTGGCAAGTTAAAGTCACCTGGGTACACGCTGATTTTAGCGCTGGCGTGATGTTTTGAATCTCTGATAGGCTGGAGAGTGGACCAGAGCCTGATTTGCTTTACAGAGATCTGTGACTCTCGGAAGGTTCTCCGCTGTGGGATTCGAAGCCAAACAACCACATATGGCTAACACTCTGGCATCCTAGTGCTGACAGCCATCTGCTTTTGGCAGAGAGGAAGAAAAACAAAGACTGCGCCAGCACAGAAACCACTGCAGACCCCTGACAACATCCAAAAAAACAAAGATACATGACTGTATACTAGGAGATAAGTGTTACCAGTCTAATAATGATGTTGAGAAAAGACAATCGGTTTTACATCCGGCTTCTTCTTTCAGCCTGCACCAATGAACGAACTTTCCATGATCGACTCTTGATTTTCCTCAGGCACAATCCCTTTCAAGATTTCTCTTTTTGGCCTCAGAAGGTTTAAACGTTTTCCTTCCCTCAGCCATGACCAGTAGTAGAGCAGGCGGAAAAATAGAGCAAAAGCCTTAGCTCCATGATGTAAGAGCTTGCTGCCGTACAGCTATACATTCTTCCAGGTCACATGACCAGGCCTTTGGTGCGTCATTTCCCAACTTATATAGGCGGTATTTCAAGTTGGGAGGACCGCTCGTAGCATTACTACCGTGAAGCACTGTATATTTGCCTGAGGAATCATTTAAAATAACTCATATGCGTCAACTATTTAGGTCACAAAGTCCGCGGTGTGCCTTTAACATATTTCTAAAGAATGCAGATAACTGATCATTTGTAAATCACAGCCAAACCCAAAACAATCAAATCCAAGTTTGATAATATACCTGAAGTTATATTATCAAACTTGGATTTGATTGTTTTTGCTATTCATTTGTGAAATCATAGTTTTATTGATTGAATGGACAGAAAAACCATGGAGTTGTGGGACTGTGCAATTGAAGGACATAGATAAGTTGGATGTAAAAAAATTAAGTTTGCGATGTTTACAAGATTTTCAACTGAAATTAATGAATTCCAGCTTTTACGCTGGTGTTTATTTGTTAAGATGACAAATGTACACACAGTGGTTTGGCCATTAAACTTTTTTGTTCTGAAGCAAACAGCTTTGCAAGAAAGAAAGAAAACTAAAGCGAAAGAGAAAGGAAGAACTCCATTATAGAGAAAGGAGCGTACAAGTATGCAAGACATTCAGACCGTTGAATACATTTCAAAATGTAAATAGTGATCAGGAAACAAGTATGGAGCTTGTAGAAAAATGCCAAAAAAAACATTTGTCTCCTGTAAAAGAGTAAACCTAGTCACATTATCACAATAAAAATGTTTGTTTTTCTAAAGTGGCTTCCTCATTTATTCAGGGTTGCACCCTTTCTTAACAGAGTCCCCAGGACTAACATGCATCATTGCCCAGATTCCTTCACAGAAAATAAAAAGGAGCCCCAGTGAAGTTCTTTGTTGTGTGCATGTCTTTTCAGGAGAAAACAAAAGGTTCTGCACAGTGTCAGTAGTATAAGAACAAATATGGCAATCTGCTGAAACTGATGTTGAAGCTGCAATTTGATTTACAGGTTTGATTTACTGGATGTTCAACATGCACTTCAAAAGCGATCCAACAAAATGTGCCAGGTTGAGATGTTCCTCTGCAAATAGAATGTAATTTTATCCTGATTGTGAATGAATTTGCTTACAACTGGTTTAAAAAAAGAAAAGAAAAAAGAAAAAGTTTGTTTCATACGATATAAAGCAAAGTTGTTTAATTTGAATTAGACATTTGTCTGGATTTATTTATAGCTGTCAGATTAAAGCTACAGTGTGTAATAATTACAGGGATATACAGTCAGAAATATAATATATTATACATAACTATGTTATTTATCATCATCTACGAGCTCAGCCTCTTAACCTTAATATTTGCGTTGCCTTAGAATTCGTTATTTATAATTACATAGGAGCGGGTCTCGCAGCCATGGAGGCAGACATCTTTGCGCTACAGCACAGAGCCAACAAACAAGCGATTGCGAGATCGCCCATTACGCTCGAAAGTAACTACGGCAAGTTGAGAGAGATGAACTGAGACGGTACTGAAATCTATACCCTACACAGACTAATGAAATGTTATCTGTAAAATTATCTATGTAAACAAACCTCATCACTTGAGAAGGTAGGTGATGCGGACGTCGTGGATGACATTTTGTCCCGTAACTCTCGCCGTACTGTTGGGGGGGAGAAGCGGTGGGGGGGAGATGTTCATGTTGCTGCGGTCTGCAGTCTGGACGTTAGATGTCGCTGAAAATTACACAATGTAGCTTTAAAATTTAACAATTCAATAAACTAAGGGAATGAGACATAACATATTGGACACTTAAATATCACACTTAAATATCAGAAAATCTTTATTTGCATTACAAAAATCAAACCATATTATTACCAATATTAATTTATTATTCCCAAAATGAATATTCTTTGCATATTTCTTGACTACAACAATGGCAAAACAGGGAAATAAAATGTATGACTAAAATGAAGACACAATCCTGCAAATCATGTTTTGAATTCATCATCATAACGGCCTGAGTAATAAAAAGTTTATTTTTCCGATCCAATGGTCTTTAAACTGTCAGAATCTATATCCAGATGCACATTTCACATAAAGTGGAATAAAAGGAGTAGAGAATGAGGCCTTCAGAAAGGATCCCTACTGCTTCATCCAGTACAGGGACCAGCTAATCCTTCAAAACAGACAATATTCTTCACATGGTTAATAAAATATTTTGCAAGAAGATTGTACACAAATATTAGATTGAAAAACACAAACTATTGCACCTTTTAAAAGTAATTCAATACTAACTTAATTCAGCAAAAGGTATCCTAAAGCCACTATGCTGAGGCACAGAGAGAGGGACTGAGAGACGCTAATGGACACAGAGTCTCTGGCGCTGAAGAGACACGAGCCAACGTTGCCCACTCGGTCTATAACCAACAGCTCCATTTCAGGCGCACAGCAGGATGCAGTGTAGGACACTAGTGTTATGTTCCCAGTTCCAGCTTCCAGGCTGGTGTTGTAGGTACCGTTGCCCTGGATGAGGCTGACGCGGTCAACGCCCGCCCCGTTATCTCCATCAGTCACCCGGACATCAAGCTTCCATGTTGATTTGCTGCAGTTTTCAGGGCAGTTGGACTGCAGGTTGAGCAGCTCACAATCTGGATGGGAAAAATCCCCATTCTGTGGTGGAAATAAAGGAGTTGGTTTAGTGTTCTATAACTTAGGACAATATCTACAAACAGTATTAGTAGTTGGTCATTACAGTACTAAGTCTGTACATGAAGAGTTTGGATGGGCAATTGTTAATCTTTATATGGACAAAGAAAAATTTTTATAATAAATCAGGACTTCCATGAAAGGCAATTCCCCATGTTTACAAACCTAAAAACTGGCAGCAGGATTAAGATGAATTTTCATCTTTTTTTCCCCCATTTCTCTTCCATGGAAAGGTCAGATCAATAGCAACATACCTTATATTTGATCAAATACCACTATAAGCACCGTTTAGTAGTATGGTTGCATTACAGCTACACTACACTACAATGTCATACTAAATTTTCCTTTTTAATGATCAATGTATTAATTTCTAGTGTTGTTTCTTGGACTGTTTGAAAATTCTCATTAGTTTCAGCAAGTGACTTTGTCCTTTTTTCTATAGAAACACAGATACGTTTTCAAATCTGTACCCATTACTAATGAGTTGGGTATAAAAAATATATATATTTATGTAGAGGTTATACTTAAATAATATGCTAATGTTGCCTGGGTTTAAAATGAGATTTAAGATAAGCTTTGAGTGGTTGGAATGTTTTATATTTACCGAGTTTAATATAGAGAAGCGCAGCACGATGTAGTTGGAATCAGTTCCATCCGGAGTTTCTGCCTCGATGGTCAGGATGACGTCAGAACCTGACGGGGTGTTCGTGGGAGCTGACAGGGTCACTGTGCCATTTGTGCTGTTCCCACCTTTCAAAAATAACATGCTGGGAGACGTTAAGTCAAAGCCTTTATTGTTGGAGGCTCGGATGGTTACGTTTCCATCTGATCCGGTCCATGACACAGTGAAGGGCACAGAGACCGGTGTCCCTGGTATCAAGATGTTTTCTGAATCGGCCTGGATAAAAAGAACGTAAGTGAGAAAAACGTTTAAAATTTAAACGTGTCACTGTGTTCATACCAAACGTTTACTCACAGTAAGAGTCAGATTGGAAGCTCTGAAGTTAGTGGACGACTGTCTTTGAAAGTCATTTGAAGAACCTTGAACTCTTCCCTTCACCCGAACTGAAAACTCCACTTCTGGCATCATATCGAACTGGACTAAATAATCTCCGTCCCCCTGTGAAGCAACAGCTCCTGTAATCTCCTCTGATCCAGCTGATGATTCCACCAGAGCAACTTCATTCACAGTAGCAGAGTCACTTCCTGTTATAGACACCAGCAACCTGCCCGTGACACCTTTAGAAGAACAAAAAAGGTATAATTAATGCTAATTTAGTCATGATTAAAACATTCAATACAGACAGGTGGTCCTACCGGCTCTGGGACGTGTGTCTAGAGTATCAAATCCACCAAAAGGACCCTCAGATGGCACAACGAAGTCAAACAAGAAGTCAACAGAACTCTGGCCTGCAAACACAAAGGCATTAAAAGTTTCTCCCCTAGTTTTAGAAACAAAGACCAAGCGACCAAGACCAACAGTCTAATGATGCAACTCGAAAGTAGCTTCGCTGCAAAGCCTAAGATGCATAAGGAAGACTCCGGGCTAGTGATGGCACAATTGATGAAAGCTTCAGTACATTTTTGTTCCGTTTTTGTGCTTGTCTTAATTTCTTCATGTTTTATTTTTATAAAGTAAATTTCAAGTAGCAAATTTATACCTTACCTTAGTGGAGTTTTTTTTTTTACCCCGATTTTTTGTTTTTGTTGGGTTTTTAGTTGGGGAAAACTGTATTACAGCCCGTCTTTTTTTTTTTTAAGTAACCCACTTAGAATATGGCAGGTGTATCAATGCCAATGCAATCAACTGGTTTTCCTTAGATAGAAAACTTTGTATCAATTTGACTGTATGATCTGGTTGAACTGTAAAGTGCCTTGAGATGACATGTGNCAATGCAATCAACTGGTTTTCCTTAGATAGAAAACTTTGTATCAATTTGACTGTATGATCTGGTTGAACTGTAAAGTGCCTTGAGATGACATGTGTTGTGAATTTGGTGCTATATAAATAAACTGAATTGAATTGAATTATCTGATGCATGATAAAAAAACAACTGATTAAAATGTATTATTTTTTAATGCTCTGATTACAAGATTTCTTTCAAGCTCCAGGTTTCTATAACTACATGACTGGGATGTTATTGTTAAAAAAAAGAATCACAATAGGATTTTTTTTTTTGCCAGATCCCCTTCAGCCTAAGAAAATTCTTGTATGTCTGTGTCACTTATTGCATGTGATTTAGTAAAAAGATAAGAAAATTGGGTGCCACATAATGACAGGTTCAAGAAATCTTGAGTTCTTGTCGTAACTAGTTATTACATACATTTATTACAGCAATAAAAGTGAGGAAAATAAATGCATGATTATTGTTTACTAGAAATATGCAAATGAAACACAAGATACAAAAACAATAGTAAACAGTTGTAATATTAATCTTACAAGATTAGGAATGTTCTCTGAAAATGGTTAAAAAAAATGAGTTTTCTTCTGCTGAATATATTTTAAAGCAGTCAGAGGGCTTAGGTTGTAGCTCCAAATGTTCTGCATGTCTCTCACCAATGACTCTTAGGGTATAGGGGTTAGTCGACACCATTTCCATTTTCCATTTCCCAACTTGTTTTTGTAACTGCGCTGTAATGAAGTTTCCCACTTGCTGAAGGTTGTTGATCAATGAGCCTGATGAGTCCGTGCTTTGCTGAGATGCACCTGGGAATAAGGACAGTGATAAACATACTTTGAGTGTCTGCTGAAACATTAGTTCCAAACTATAAACTATGCTTTTGGTATTGAACACCCTTAATAATGAGAGGCTGAACACTTTTGAAAGGTAGTTTTACCTGTTGGGCTTGTGAGTGTGAAAGTGACGGACTTGCCGGTAATGTAAACTCTCAGGTTTGTAACAGTTTGATCAACTATAAAGGTAAAACTATCCGTCTGTCCTGGGCTCCTGGATGCCTGTAGCAGGGTCACCTGAGAGATCACAGTAGCAGCTTAGTCTAGAGACATCTTTTACAAAGAACCATGTTGACTTGTGCAGACATTACCACAGAGGAGCTGGCAGACTGGGCAATAATTGCTGCTGCAACAGGAAGTTGAGCTTTCGTCACTTCAATGGCCTGACCTCCTGATGCATGAGCCAGGTCTCTGTACAGCTGAGCTTCAGGCTCATTGATCGCTCTTGCTTGAGATTGGTTGATGCTTCTCCTCTTGCGACGATTAGTCTCTACTGTGTCTGTAACCATAAAGTTGACCTGTAACGAGAAAACAAATAATTCAACTTCATTGATCCCTGCAATTCTCTATTTAACCAATCCCATAGGAAGCAGTACGGGGCTAAGGGTCTTGCTTAGCGACCCAGTGTAGCAGACTGTGGGGTTTGAACCATCATCCTAATTAAAAACACATGCATTCTTCTCTAATCGCCAGGCCAGTACTCCCCTCACACCAAACTATGAGAGCCCTTTCAATCTAAACTATTATAGACATAAGTAATTGTGTTCTTTGTAACAAAAAGAGGTGAAATATCTCAAGTGATTTGTGTGTTTGGTCGATCAAGGTGTAAAAAGGTTTTTGTTACCAAGTAACACAACACTGGGGGATTTTATATGAAAATTCAGTTCAAATTTGTGCATAAAGAGAAATGAAAAAATTGTTTTGCACACCGGGAGACATTAAGATGTTTTTGCAGATTCTTCTTAAAATAGCTTTAGTTCGGATGATTGGATCATCTGGGTAAGTTTTTTTTTTATCTTGCCTTAGATTTTCAATTGGATTTCTGTCTGCAGGGGATTCGTAACACTCACATTTCTTTTAAAGCCCCTGTCACATATACAGCGTATGCCTGAAGTATGAAAATCTTGCAAAAATGCTGGCATACGTTGAATAAGTATTGGGTCAGTTTCATATAAGTTAGGAGCACGCTGGCACACATCGACATACAGCAAGTATTTGATGTATGCCAGAGTATGCATGGGCCTTAAGTTACAGGTAAGTTATTTGATTGTTGAAATACGTTAAGTGTAAGTAACTCATAAGTCATGGTGTCTAGTTTCTCCAAAACCTACGATTAACTTCTGCATTACTTATGCATAACTTATCAAGAACTCAACGCATATCAACCTATTTGACGTTTTCCAGACGACTGCTGAACATCTTTCTAACTTACAGCTACTGTATAATGGCATACTGGCAGCGTTTTGGTAGAAATGTGGGTTCACATGTACCCCTCTGGAGTGCATCCCCCTCATAGAGTAAGAAAGAAGGTTAGTGTGATGGATCCTCCCTGCATTTACGCCCAAGGCCATGGCCAACAAACTTCCTTGCAGACATGACGCTGAATACTGCTGAGAATGCAAACCTTCTTTCTTTTTCTTTTCAATTATTTAATTTCTTAATTTTTTTTGCAGAGTGCTTAACAACAGCTACGTCAATACCGCGATCAAAGAAATCTTTTATCCATGCCAGGCACCTCCAAGCACATTGCTGGCTGGTAACATTTCATAGGTATTACGCTGCTGTGTGTTATGCACAAGTTAGGCTGTGGTTTGATATAAGTTCTGGACTTGTTATCTATACTCTATGTATATGCCCAAAATTGAAAAAAGTACATAGAAAGTTCAGCGTATGCCAGTGTTTTAGAAGATTCTGGGACATCAGGTATACACTGGTTAAATTGTCATGGTGTGACAGGGGCTTTATGTAAACAGTTTTATCCTAGTTATATGATTCCGGTTGCTTCTTTGCTGGAAGCTGAAACTCTCCCCTACTGTGTGGACTACCACAAATTTTCCATGGAATTGTTCTGTATTTTTTTGTGTGTTTTTTTTGTTTGTTGCCAATATGGGTCTGGGAACAGATCTCCCAGAGCTAGCTGATAGCCCAACAGCTTTGCGTTTACAAGCAGACCATTATGACTCTTACCATAAGGTTCCACTCAACACTTGTATATTAACTTTAAGGAAAATTATCTAGGGAGTAAAATGTGTAAAACTGACACAGAGATGGAAAGGGAGGCGAAAAAGAAAGGGGATAAGAATTAAGGGAAGAGAGGAAGAGACAAGACAGAGTATATGCAAAGAGAGAAAATAAAACAAGACAGCTCAAATAGACAACACAGAAGCTCTTTAGTTTTACCCATCATGAGATGTTTCTTGTGTGATGCCAGATACACCTTTTTATAGGCCATCATTTGGGATTGAACCAGCTGATATTAATTTGCGCTGACAATGGGCAGTATTGCTTTCTAACTACTGAGAGATTTTGGCAGGTGTTTTGGCTTTCTATGCCTTCTTGCACCTCCCTTTCTTCACATGTTCAGTACTTGTTCAGTTCCCTGTGCCATTCCACATTATAACAGATAACTTAATTTAAGAATATCTATGGTTTGATTTCTTTTTCAAGTGCGCATTGCATGGATTGTTGCTGACATCTGGTGAAAATGTCATGTCAATAGCACCTCTAGAAATATATTTATTGAGATAAATGGTGGCGTGTTAAATACTTCAATTCACACGCTGTATATCTGTAGCTGCAGCTTAGTATTTAGCATTAGTGTGTATCCGTGAACACCTGGAACCAAACTCTAGTAATATGTGTGGATGGGGTTGCTTGCGTATATCATTGTGCCCCAGATCAGTGGGGTACAAGGAGGGTAGACATCGGGAATTGTTCTGGATTTACATCCATTCATCTTGCCATCAATTGAGACTCGCCACAGCATTATGGGGATAGTGTGTTCAGCGTGATATGCAGTGTTAGTTTTGATTCACGATCCAAAATGTTCAATGTTTGTCTCATTTGACCAAAAAACCTCACTCCACAAGTTTTCTTTATGGTTTGCTACTAATTTAAAGATAATTTACCTTTTACATCCCTTTTTAGAAATGGATTTCTTCTCCCCCAAATAGCTGTTATTAAAATATTATTTTAAACCACGCTGATTTAAATGTCTCCACAACTTTTTTCCCCTGATTGTCTGGAGCATTCCTTTGTCTTTAAGATGCTCATTGTTGCATTTTTAAAAACTTTCGAAACTTTTACAGAAACACTGGATGTAAGCTACTCACTGCAACCAGTTAGGGACTTCTAAAGTCTACTATTTTAGGAGCCTAATGTTGATTTAATTAAATGCAGAGTAAACAGGATGATTTCAATAAAAAAACAACTTGCATAGCTTGTTGTGTTTAAAATGACAAAATCTATATTAAAAATGAGGATCTAGATGATTATTTTTACAAGGAGCTATAAACACATTCAATATTAGTATGCAAACAGATACCACTGTCTGGGTCCGCTCAATGAGGGCGATCACTGTGTTCTTCAGTTGTTCATCTTTAGCTGGTGCATCCGTGAAGAGAAAGATCTCGGAGCTGAACGGAGCAGAAGTTAATGCCAGCTGTAAGACAATGCATGCATGCAATAAAGATAATTTTAATTCATTTTTTTTTTAATCAGCAGTGTTGGAAACATTTGAACACAGATAGCATTACCTGTAGTCCAGAGAGACTCATTTCCTCCTTATCTCCTCCACCAGTAGTTGTTAAACTATCAACAATATTTTTGAAAAGGTTGGCATCTGATGTTCGAATCAGTGGCCCAAATCCTTCACAAGCAAAAGAAAAAAAAATCCGAAATTGCATTTACAGTTTAAAAAGCTTGCTAAATTCTTCAACCTTACCTGGATCGCTGAAAGGTACGAGGATGTAAAGTGATGGTTCATTCTCTGTTCCCTTATATCTTTCAATGATGCTGGAGGTGACGGTCTTCACCACTGCAATGTCATCACTCATGCTCTTCGAGGTGTCAGTGACAAAACAAAGAGCTCTGCTTGAACCCCTTGCGATTCCCACCATCCTAAGGTAAACAAATAGTTGGACCAAAATAAGGCAAAAACCAACACTAATAATAAAGCATTGGTCCATAATTAAATAAACATACTCTAGGAAGGGTCTCTCTCCTGCTGCCAGTCGAACATCCTCCAGCAGCTGACTGGTTGCAGCAATCGCCACATTTGCTGCTTGTGTGTGGAGATGTCCATGCTCAGACTTGAAGGAATCCTTGTTTATCCCACCCTTTGGTTCGATCTTACTAGTTTGGTCAATTCCTCCTCCATGACTGCACTTTCCTTTTATTAGACAGGAAAAGGTGATACTGTAAGTAATTCTTCCCAGCTAAGTTTCCCTTTTGAGAAGTTACAACTTTTGCATAGGAAAGTTGTAAAGTGATTTTTATATTTTATCAAAGAGTGGCATGCCAAAAAGTTATATACAGAACCCTCTTCTGAATAATTTTCTTTTTTTTTTTTGATAACAACAATAGGGTATTCCTATAACCCTAATGTTTAGCTCTCATTACAAATTCTTTATTAGACTCCTTCAAGACTGTGGCTCAGTATCTCTAAAACAAAATGTATTTTACTTCCTCTCAGAAGCAGCATTTTGGTCAAATTAAGAGATTACTCACAGTTTTTATGAATACTTTTGGTCTTTAGTGTATTTTCAACAATAATATGGTTTTGTTAACACTGTAAACTCAAAGTAGTATTTCAGAACTGAAAAAAGAAGCCATGATTAAGCTACAGAGAATCACACACTAAACCAGAAAACCCAGGTAAAGGAACATTCATGGCAGGAGGGAATGTGGCCTGAGGGGAATAAACAACTTTCAAAACCGGTCTCGTTGAGTATGTTCAGAAAGTCAGCTAAACTCATATTTCCACATACTTATTTCTGAATGTAATTAACTTAGGAGTGAATCCAACAGAAAACTGATAAGCACTGCTTGTGTTCATTGAAGCTAGTAGGATTCCTCCAATCCTGCCTGATGGTTATGTTAATAGTTATAATATGATTGTGAAAATGGAATTGTCTCTGTTTGATCAAACATGTGATAACAAACATGTGATCTCAAACAAGATAAAACTATGGGTGCTTTTACCAAAGCGGTAGTGATTCATATAGATATATTTCAGTTATCCAAATCTACCTTTCAATGAAGCTAAGGAAGTTGCCTTCACAGAAGGGGGAAGAGTTATAGGGAAGTGTTAAATGCACAATTCAATAAAAGAAGTTGCTTGGATGATTGTCCTGTGATGGACATAACTAGGAAACCCATCCCTACTGTTTCTAGTCCAGAGACAGTACTCTTAAAAGGGGAAGTGTTGCAAAAAGGACTTAACACAGCATCAGTGGGGACATATGTTCATATTTGGCTATATCGAATCATAATTTCAAGTAAATTGAACTTATACAGCTTGATCTGAATGTGTCTGATTGATTAGAATTGTATATGGATGGATTCTGAAATTATTTGCAAGCATTTTGTTAGTCAAGTACAATAAAATTTCATTTTCATGTTAAATCCACGCCTTGTGTTTTGCAGTCCAAAACCTTCTTATAAACCACTGTTGCTCTATGAATTTGTGCTTTACAGTCAAATTACTCCAAAATAAATGATCAGAAATGCTAAACCTTTCAGACCAATTGTTATTAAAAAGTTACCTTTGCCTCATTTCCTAAAAGTTGGTTGAAACAAGGAAAACACAAAAAATAATTTAAAGTTGATGAATTAAACATACAAGAGCAGATTGCTCTTTTAAACATGGTAGGGAATTTTGATTAAAAATGACTTATCTAAATATTAAATTGCCATACTTTATTGATTTTGTAAATAAAAGAAATAGTTAATGCAGCATTACCTTACAGTAAATAAGTGATTTTAGATAATAAAAATCAGCACTGTAAACCTATTTTGCAGAATGAGTGTTGGAACTTACCATTAGTAATCCAACTTTAAATTATAAATGTGAATCATTGCTCCTTGAATTCTCATGTAACATCCATTGCCACTAGTCTGGGGTTAAATTAGATGGGGACTTTAGATCAAATGCTTAAATTAGGTCTGTTTCAAAAACAAGATTTTGTTTTAGCAGAGGCATGTTTCTTACTCTGATTGCTTTCCATTGGCTCCCTGTGTGATACAGAATTGATTTGTACAATACTTGTGTTTGTATTTAAATGTCTTAATCACCTTTCTCCCCCTTATCCTTAAAATTTGATCCACCCTTATTATCCTACACCAACTCTAATGTCAACTGATCAGCTGCTCCTGGCGTTTTTCCCCCCCTTTGTAATCATGCTCCCTGTTCCCATGCCCTATTTTACCCTGTATTTTTGGATAGTACATTACGTTAATAAAAATTCTGTTTTTTTATTTGCTTTATAATTTAAATGGAGTTGAATTTGAGTAAAACTTGACAAATGTCCTGTGATCCAGTTCATTTAGCTATCACATAAACTTAAGAAATGGAAACAAAGAGCCTAAAATAGTCTTGCTGGACAGAGTGAGAGTGGAGAGAAATGGATAAAATGATTTTCTGCCTTTTTTCTAAAACTTGTAGTGTGGATATCAATAGCAATAGACAACCAGCCTGCAAGACACTACTAGAGGTAGATCAAAGATTGAATTTCACATGTCAGCTTACAACATGAACCTTAAAAAAAAAACATATCTGTATTTACCGGGTGGTTTGGTTGAGACAATAGGTACAATCCCAAAGTACCCAGAGGTCAGGATCTGCTCCTCTATGATGTCCTCCAGAATATTGTTGGTGCAGTCGTCTCCATCACAGCTGCGACATGTGGCTCTGCTTTCATCTGATAATGGGTAAACAAATGTTTCACTTTTCATTTTTAACCTACAATTCGAATATCTTTCAAAATCTCCACCATCAGCTGAAAACTCAGCCATCAGCTCATAGCATCTCTTTACCTGCTATGTTACCAATGCTGCTTTCTGCTCTGATCAGATTAGAGTTTGGGACTGTTTTTCCCAGCTCTACCCAGTTACTGTGACTGTAGAAATCCTTAAAAAAAAGAACAAGAAAAGATGAATTATCGTTCAACCCAAATACCTTCAATGTTTTTTTTTTTTTTTTAAATTCAAGATTTTAATTACTTGCAAAGGATGCATAATCTCTCCCAGTTGCTGTCGAGCAGTCTCATAATTCTCCATCCTGTTGCTGGCTTTGACAGCAGCAATTCCCTCTGTGATGATTCCCCTTCCCTGAACAAACATCTCCTCATCAAAGTGGTAGCTTGCATTCAAAGCATATCGGATGTCCACTCGGATGTTCCTCAGTGTGATAGACTTTATGGCTTTTCGGAAAGTCTTCGATGACTGTGAGGCACCGCAAGCAGCAGCAACATTTTCTGCTGTATAAGGCTGAGCCTATTTAGGTATATTTGGACATTGAAAGCAAAATTATTAAGACATCCCATCATTGTTTAGAATAATAAAAAGGCTGTATATTCCTACTGGAAAATTGAAGTTGACTCCTTCGGCCACTGCCAGAGCACGGCATGTCTGCACAGTTGCATTCAGAATTGCTCGTTCTGTAATTTCCTGGTGATTTAAAGAGTCTCCTGGCAATATTTCAAAAGCCTGAGGTCCAATGTGTAGGAAGAGGAAACAAAACACACCCAACAACAAGCGCATCATAGCTGCAACTTTCACCAACACCTGAAATTCAGATAATTTTTTTTATTAATAATCTTAATCAGTCATTTATGTTGAATGTGAAACAAATACTGTTAATATTGTCCTCAAAGTCTTAATATATTCTACTTGGCTCAATACTGAATTGTCAGAACGTTAATTCTCCAGAGGGAATTAAAAACTGCTAAACTTATATGCTCATATTAAGGTATAGAAACATTTTTGGCAGACATTTTAATTTCTATTTGATTTTAAACTGCAAAGGGTCAATATTTTACATAAAGACCCAAACATCCCTTCCTAATCCTATGTAGTTAAAGGCCCCCCTTCAAGTTAAACCCTAAAAAAGAAATTCTCACATAATCTGGATCAATATTTGATACTCTTACTTTGTAAGAAATTGTTCATTTAAAGCCTTAGTTGTAGTCCAGAAAAGTTCATTCAGATTAAAGCCAAGGCTGTTCCAAAAGCTTAATGTTAGCCTAGCTCATGTAGTATAAATATATTTGTGCAATTAAATTGTGCTTGGAGTTATTGTCCTTTTGAAACATCCAACTATATCCAATTCAGTTTGCCAAGCTATAACTAAAATAATAGCACACACATATACACAAAAATACCACATACATACATACGTACATGGATCACTTCTTGACAAAACCAGGAGATAAATTATATATATATATATATATATATATATATATATATATATATATATATATATATATATATTTTTTTTTTTTTTTTTTTATTATAATGCCAACCTCAAGTGAAAAGGGAAGTAGACTATAGACATCAACATAAAATCAGAGATCTATTAAAAAAAAAAAAAAAAAGCACCTTCTCCAGTTTCTTGGAGCTCACATGCAAATGTCAAATTCAAAAGGGAAAGTAGCATGAACAAATGAGGCAAAAATATTGAGCTATTTAACTGTTCTGAAATGCTTTAAACCTAAGGTTCACCCATTACCAGATGTCAAGAATGGTGGTAACATAAAGGTGTGGGTAAGATTCACTTACAGTGCTGCTGTAGTGCATAAAGCTGGTAGACTAACAAATTGAGAACTACATATAAATTATTCAATTTCACTTCAAATCAATAGCTAGATGGTTGAATCTTTGTCACAGTCTGGCATTAGAACTAAAAAAATTGTTTTGTTATTCAGATGATAACAAAAACATTGGTCTAAACAACTGGTTAACCAGAAAAGAAACAAAACAAAAACACATTGGATTAGAAAAGTAGTGAAATATTTACAAAAGACTTTACAGAAGCTGGATGATAGCTCTGAAATAATTTGTGGTTTCTTTTCAATTTTGATTTGACTCTCTGCTCATCAGCCGCCACAGGCTGAAGGGGGTTTGCTAATTACCAATTTATTTAAGTCATGCGTGTGGAGGAGGGGAAATACCTAAAACATGCTTCCTGAGGACCGAGTTAGAAAATCACTGTTCTAAGGAACATACACTCAAACAATCCTGCATCGTTCTGTATATATTTGAACAGGTGTAAATTTGCCCCTTAATTGATTAGAGAAAGTTTACATAAGAATCAAATAAGTGTCCCAGTTCTGTAGTTTTTTTTTCAATCTGTAAGGAAAATGAAATATTTGAACACATCATTTAAATGCCTGAAATTATACTGACATTGATCCCAAATATGAATATATTCAAACTTCTGATCCAAACACTTTATCATAAATAATAATTTCCTTTTTTAGGATTATGAGCACAATAGATTCTTTCATCTTTTGGTATTAATAACCTCTGAAACTACAACCTACATTAATCCAAACAATTCAAGGCAGTTGGAAAGGGCATGTAAAACAAATACATTTTTTTCTTTAGTTTGATAGCTGATGTAAAGCTTTTATCAAGCACTTTGCAATGCAGGCTATTCTAAGTGTTGATTTGTTTAATAATTCCTGTAGTTTTATCTGTATTTGTATGCTTTTTGCATTAGAATTTGCCTATTTGCATCTGACACACCTGCATTTCCACACAGTGGTCAAATAGAAGGTATCTCGGTTTTATTCGATCTTACTTCAAACCTACTATGATGATAGAGCTCATTCTCATTGTATTTCTCTTTCACTGGAGTAGAAGGAAAAAGCTGCTCACCTGAATGATGTTCTGCTCAGTCTGTGGTTATTGTGTCAACACCTACTTCATATGGGTTAGCTTTAAGGCGGAGTCAAACTGGACTTGCTCTACCTGCTAAGGGGGAGCATCAAGGTGGAGCAACGCTGACCTTGTTTTGGGTTTTCTTCTAATCATGCAGTAATGCAGATTATAATCTATGTCTGAGCATTTCGGTGTTTACATTTCACATTTATAAGATCAGTCATATGTTCCCTTACCAAAATCTCTGCTGTTATACTGAACACAATTTAATCAAATACAATGTCCTTCTTTGTTTCATGTCCTCTTAAGAGAAAAAAGCCCACTGTAATATTTTTTTCTGACCTTTTTTTTTTTTTAATCTTTGTTCAAACCACAGCTTTACTTCCTGCATATTTGTCATTCCTGCTTTAGCATGTTCCATAAAACAAAGGTGAGTGAATGCTTACATTTAGCAATGCATGCTCATAATGAAACACTGACAGGTGCCAAGACAGCTTTATGAACTATCTTTTCGATCATAAGATGAAAATCTGCAAAAGTTGCAGGGCAGGATCCCTATCTGAATGTGCATGACAAATGAAATTTAACTTTTGGTTTCTAATGGGATGAAAGTTCACCTTACCACACCTAATTGTCTGAAGATGCTTAAAAAAACAACAACCTGTTTATGATTGTTTTATTTCTTTTTAAGCTTCAACAATACTGGGATCTAAAAATGAATTCTGATAGTTAGAAAAGAGCTGTTTATAAAGGCATTAAATAACACCCAGCATGAGAGTGTAGTATGAGGATGAGTAAAACTATCATTGGTTCTTTGCATAAACATTGGAATTGTAGTTATGTTAAGTCTTCAGCAATACCTCCCAAACAGAGAACACCTGGCTCATGAGTCAGAGAAGTTATTTACATAAAAAAAAAATGGCTGTTGCGGTTTTCAGAGTGTGTTTGCGACGGGGTCAAATACTTTTTATGATGATGATTTTCTATCATTGTTTTTCTATACCATTATGCTTTCCTATTCGAACCAAACAGATATATGATTGTTTGGGGGAGCTATTACCTCTCCATACCAATAAATTACCCTGATTGATTATTAAATCATGCAAAATGTTCACTCCAGGATGACGCAAAGTAAACAAACCATCTAAGAACTGGACTTTGACAGAGGTTGCCCTTCAGGTGTGTTAAAACAGGGTAGATTTTGAGCTCATGGCAGAGGAAAAAAACACCTATTATGACTGTAATAAAATAGTTTAAAAAGATTTGTCATGTTGATTGCTGAGTTAAATGTTGAATTGTAAATCAACAACAGATTTTTAACAAGCTGCAAATTACCACCACTGCATTCCCCTCATATTGTATCATTACAATATTTAAGGGAGGAACACATTGTTAGCATGACTCACACACATGTTTTGTTACATGCAAGACGAGATGCATGACTGAAAGCTGAAATTTGAGACCTCTTTTGTTAGGTGTTTTCTGTCCCAGTACCTTTCATTGATGCAGTTAACAATGATACCAATAACGCCCTATTATTAGGGGAATTTAAATCATGTGAATTTTGTTCTGCTGAACAGCACATCCCAAAAGGCTTAAAAGAACTGCTATACTCGCTCTTAATAACTTTGAATTTAAAAGTCATCAGATTAAAGACAAAACATGTTAAGCGTTTTATTTTTGTAAACTTTTTTTTATATTTACCATATCCTGGTTGACTGAGAATCTTTACCACACTTGCTGTTAGGTCAGTGTGTTGAGGTTTTCAGATGTTATATCCTTAAACTTATCTGAAATATGCATCTAGCTATATGTCCTTCAATTTACATTCACCAAACCAGTTGGTTAGCAAATTTCTTCTTTTCCTAGCAATAGGGATTCAGCATTCTTACATATAGTAAAGAAGCTTGTGACAATGGTACAAAAAGACAGCGCTTACGGAAAATGTTAATCCCTTTATTGTCCCACAAAAGATTTGGACTTAGATTTTACTTGTCATTTTGTTTACACAAGTGAAAAACAAAAAGAAATGTCATTTGGAACAGCTCTCTGGATAATTTCGTCTTTTTAAAAGTGCAGCCTTGAAGAATTGTAAAAAAACAAACAAAAAAATGTATATAAAATCTGTAATATAAACACATGACTGTAAATTTACAGTTCTATCATTTTCATTTTTTTAATATAATGATAAAATACAATAAATATAATAAAATAAAAATAATAACCCATTTTACATAACATTCAGCAGTCTAATGGCGGTGGGGAAGAAACTGTTGTGGAATCTGCGATGTCGTCTGTAAACTTCACGATGTGATTGGTGGTGAACCTGTGGACGCAGTCATGTGTCATCAGGGTGAACAGCAGGGGGCTCAGGACGCAGCCCTGAGGGGAGCCTGTGCTTAGACTGATGACATCAGAGGTGTTCTGTAAAACCCGGACTGACTGGTAGTCAGCTCAGGTATGTTATCAGGCCCTGGGGCTGATAACATACTTAGGTTGAATCTCCTCAGAGTTTTCCTCACTTCAGCTACGTCTAGGTTTAGTGCGTCCTCCCCCTGGTGTGGAACAGCTCTCACTGCTGGAGTGCTGTTTAGTGCCGCAAACCTTCCAAAGAAGTTGTTGAGTTCATTTAGGAAGTCAGTGTTGGCTGCATCTAACGGGAGGGAGGGGGTGTTGTAGTCTGTGATCATCCGAATGCCTTTCCACATCCGCCTGGTGTTGCTGTCGTCGTGGAAAAGATCCTGGATTTTCTGGCAGTGGTTCTTCTGCTTCTCTAATCTGATACAACGGTTTAAGTTGGCACGCGCTGTTCGTAGTGCCTCTTTATTACCAGACTTGAAAGCTGTGTTCAGTGCTTTTAGCGATTTCCGAACTTCTCCATTCATCCAGGGTGGTTGGTTGGCCCAGGTCGTGATGTTCTTTTTGATGCTGACATCCTCAATGCATTTGTTGATCTAGGCTGACACAGTCATGGCATACTCATCAATATTTAACAAGTTGTCATATGTTGCTGCAGCCTTGAAGATGTTCCAGTCAGAGTATTCAAAACAGTCCTGGAGTGTCTCCATGGTGCCCCTCAGACCAAAGGGTGAAATTCACTCTCTGCATTTAACCCATTACCTTGGGGAGAAGTGGGCTGCCATTGTGCGGCCCGTGGGGAGCAGTGTGGGGTTAAGGGTCTTGCTTAGGAACCCAGAGTGGAGGCTGTGGGGATCGAACCGGGTACTTGCAACCTTCTCAGAGCACAAGCTCACTTCTCTAACCACAAGGTCGACACTTCCCGTGTGGGAGTGTTTTACGGCTCATGAAAACTCATACAAACCTGTCTGATCTTTTTCTCTGTTTCATGTATGTTATTTTAAGCATTTTATTTGAGCACACAGACGATTTAGTTCTCTGCCGCTCATAGTGCAAGGCACATAGTGTGATTTGTGGGGAGAGTCATATCTTTTCAGAAGGTAAAGGCACTTTATGTGGTTTAATTTGTTTAGAGGTCTACAACCTGGCATGAGACACACCTTTGTCCTCTGTGCTCTGGTATAATAAAGGCTGCCTCTATCTGGTATGCTGTGTGGCTCCCAGAGGTGTCAAGTAACAAAGTACAAATACTTCGTTACTGTACTTAAGTACACTATTTAGGTATCTATACTTTACTCCATTACTTATTTTTCCTCCTACTTCTGACTTCTACTCATTACATTTTCACACAAGTATCTGTACTTTCTATTACAAGTATCTGTACTATTTCTATTACCATTACTTTTACTACATTTTTAAAACAAACGTTACTCATTATTCTTGGCTTACAGAGGTCACGTGTTAGCGGACCGCGGTCCGGACCCGGACCCACCTGCTGGCTCATCCGGACCTGACCTGATTTAAAGCATTTATAAATTACTGCATGTTGTCTGACGACAGTATCTAAACATCAGTTGAACCTCTTCTCCTGTTACCCCGAAAACCCACATCCTCTATCACTGCTCCGCCCCGCAGCATGCCAGACCTGCGCAAAGCAAAGCCTACAGCCTCCGCTGTTCCTCCCGTATTGCTGCACCCCAACGTATCCTCTGAGCTTTAGGGGAGTATGCGCGATATTATCATTAAATTCATAGAAGCAAAACATGCAGAAATTAACGTTTAATTTAATATGACATATTAAAAATATTCCCAGCATATGTGCAGTTTCTGATGGAGATGAGAAATCTGCTTCCTGGTCTGTTGAAGTACCGATAGTTTGCATCCAATCTTTAAAATAAACAGTGTTAGTTTTTTGAAATATATAAGACTTATGCGAGTGGCACAGTGGGTAGCACTGTCTATGTCTATGCCATGCTACAATGTCGGATTCAGAAAAAAGGTGTTGAAATGTCTGAAAGGTCGGACACAAGCTAGAGCGATGGAGACAGAGACCAACAAGACCTCTCTCATCCTTGGCCCTATCACAAAGAATTTTTCGAAATAGTTGAAAAATTGAGCTTTCAATTCATATAGTGGCATCAGGCTGTTTTTTTTAAAGGTTACTTTATACTTTAAGTAGTTTTTGGAGCACATACTTTTTCGCTTTTATTTGAGTAAAGAGGTCAAGTTGATACTTCAACATTTACCAAGTGTTTTTAAACTGCAGTATCTATACTTCTACTTAAGTAACAAATGTGTGTACTTTTGACACCACTGGTGGCTCCAATGTTCATTGGCTAGATTACCCTGGCTACCTCTGATGTTTGTTTTTGGGTATGTCTGGCTTTTAGACCCAAAGTAGTTATCTATGAGTCCCTCTATAAGGATTCTGTTTTGGCAAACTGGGCTGGAGATGAAACCCATGGAAATACACAGGATTTTTATGTGTGGATCTAAAGTTTACAACACCACCTCCTGGTGCAGCTTTGAAATGCAGCACCATAACTAAGCAGATGAGGACTTCTCAGTTCCCCTCAAGTCTTCAAATGGATAACAAGTATTATTTAATTCAACCATAGAGATGGAAGTCAAATTTTTTCATCAGCATTTGTCAGAAGCAA